GACGGCTGGACGAGGGCAGCGGGGACGCGTCGGCGAGCGCCGGAGGTTTGAGGGCGTGGCCGCAGGGCGAGCCCCCGCCCCCGCCGCCATCGTTGCGCTCCTTTCGGCCGTCCGCCGGGCTCTTCCTGTCGCACTTGAAGCGCTTCTGGCGGCGCAGGTAGCAGCCGTTCTCAAACATGTTCCCGGAGTCCGGGTGCAGCGTCCAGTAGGAACCTTTGCCCGGTTTGTCGGGCGAGCGGGACACTTTGACGAAGCAGTCGTTGAAGGACAGCGAGTGGCGGATGGAGTTCTGCCAGCGCTGTTGGTTGTTGCGGTAGAAGGGGAACAGCTCCATGATCCACTGGTAGATCTCGCTGAGGGTGAGCATTTTGCCCGGCGCCTGCTGGATGGCCATCGTGATGAGCGAGATGTAGGAATACGGCGGCTTGGCGTGCGGGTAGCTGCGCCGCGGCGGCTTGGTGTCGCGGCCTCGGTTCAGGTTCAGGCTCAAGCCCCCGCCCCCGCCGCCGCCGTACTGGGCCCCGGGACTGACCCCGCCGTACGCGTGGTGGTGGTGGTGGTGGTGGTGGTGATGCGGCCCCGGCGCCTGCCCCGCGCCGCCGCACGGGCTCATGGCCCCGCTCATGCCGCCGCCGTTGCCCAGACAGGACACGCCCATCCCGGACACGGGGGCGGGGCTTATGCCGGGTCCGCCGTACGCCATGTTGAAGGACGCCGCCGCCGACGCCGCCCCGCCGCCGGCCGACATGTAGCCGGACACCGAGCCCATCCCCAGGCCCGCCGACATCGGGGAGTACACCTGCACGACAGGAAGTAGGCGCGGGGTCGCGCATCAGTCGGGCGCCAAGCCGCTTCCTACCCCGACTGATCATAAACCGTCAGTGACCGCGTAGAGAAATGAACGTCAAGTTCAATGGGACCCAAAGTGACTGCATGACATGGCCAAGGGGGGGGGGGGTGTTCCAGATCGGCCAGGTTCGACATTGGGCCAGGGTTTCGAATGTGGGATGGAAAGCCAACGGTAGGGTTTCAAATGAGGGTTAGTGTTTCCAATTAGGGTTTAAAACTACGCTTTGGGGCTCGAGGTTCAAATTAGGGGTTCAAATTCCGGGAGGGTTAGCGTGTCAAAGAGCGCGCGCTCCAAAACCGGCGTGAGCGCTGCGTTCAAAGGAAGCGCGGCCGTTCTGGGGTAGGGCGTTCGGGTCGGGCCTCAATTTCTCTTTGTGTTTTCAAAGAAGCCCTTCATTCTTGGCTTCGCTTTGTATTGATTGGCATGCCAGCGAATTAATTGAGAGATGCCGTTGATAAATTGATTGAAGGGGACGTGATGACGTGATTGATCAACTCGTCCGCCTTTCAGTCTCGATGTTCGCCATTTGACATTGCGAAAAGTCTTTCAGCGTGCGGCTCGACCGGCTGAGCGTGCCCCAAAGGGGAAAAAAAAAATCAATTCTCATTGTAGGATTTTTTTGATGACATCATATTTAGGATCATGAGCAATAATTGTTCGATTTGAGCTCAACATCACTTTTTGGTTGTGTGTGCGTGCTTGTGTGTTTCGATAAATTTATGTTGGCGCCCCCGTGCGGTGAATTTGCACCTGCTCGCTCCCTTTTCAAGGCTTTTCATTTGTCTGGCTCCTTTTTCAAGCACCCACATTATTTGTTGTTTATGTATTTAGTCATTTTACACCGAGGTGTTCTTCCCGCAAGTGGTTTATTTTGTTGTCATATTGGACTTTGTTAAAAAAAAAAAATCACCCCAAAAAAAAAAAAACAATCGTGCAAAAACAAAAAACTAAGCGAGGCCGCGAGCCTCGAAAGGAGAAGCCAATCAGATCATGGACGCACGGAGCATTTTGGTTTTTACGTGGAAAGATTTAAAAAAAAAAAAAAATCATTTTCGAACCATCATCTTGTTTGCTCTTTCAACATTGTTGATTTTTTACCACGTGTGTGTGTGTGTGTGTGTGTGCTTACTTATTATTATTATTAGCTGCAATTTTGCACACTATTTTGGCAGGGTTGATTTTTTTTTTGTGTGTGAACTCGATTTGTTGTGTGTGAGGCTTTTTTTGCTGCGTTTTTTAACGCTTCTCCGGGTCCGTGTGTCAGTGTGCGTGCGTGTGTGATTTTCAACTGTTGATTTTCGTTTCGCAGAGATTTTTCGACACTGTGATTTTATTTATTCGTTTTTTGACATGGGATTATTTTTGGAAACTGTTCCGTTTTTTTTTTTTTTCAAACGTGCGATTTTATTTGTATGTGTGCGCGTGTCTTTGTGCATGCGCGAATCAGCAATTAATGGCGTTTTGATTATTGCCTTGAATATCACTCAGTAGAATTAAAAAGATTTTGTTCACGGAACTTTCTGGATTTTTTTTTCAAACCGTTTGAATGTTACGTATTAAATCTTGACAATGACAAGGATTAAATCGTTTTGTTTTGCATTCATCTGGTGGACTTTGCGAGAAGTGAGATTTGTTTTGTGTCACGCGCTGAGGAGAGCAACGGAAAAAAAAGGCTGCGTGTGGTTTTCTTGCTTGGCCGCCGTTTCAACGACAAGGTCCGTTTTACGGCTTCTATTTTTCTCTCACGGCTTCTCGTTCGTGTAGAATTGACGGCGTTTACTTGGAAATGATTACGAGCACGTTCGGTCGTGTGTGTGTGTGTGTGTGTGTGTGTGTGTGTGTGTGTGTGTGTGTGTGTGTGTGTGTGTGTGTGTGCGTGTGTGTGTGTTTTCCACTCTATTTTTTTCGCCATTTTAATACTTTTTTCGTCATTTAATGAACTAACAAGTCGTCAACGGGATTTACGGCCAACAAAGTGGCAAACGTTGAAGTGCACGATTTGACGAATCTGCTGCCGCACGACTTGATTCTTTTAAATCTTCCGAATATTGTCAAGATAAATGATGCGATGGCTTTGCAGTCCATTTTCGTGCGTTTCACATTTAACCGTTTGCCTCTTAATCAACACGCTTTTTTTTCTGATTGACGCCACCGCGTCAGCAATCATGAATCACAACGACAATTAGTTATCGTAACGAATAAGCGGTGCGCTTGATGAAAAGGAAACGAAAGTTAAAACAAAACGATTTTTAACAAATGCTCGCAAATTATTTTGCGTGTATGAAATTCGAACTGCGCGTGAAGTTGGAAACTTTGCCCCGTCGTGAATGAGCGCGTGTCCAATTTTGGCGTGATGAAGCCCCTCAACTGTGCGTGCGTTGTGCGTGCGTCAATTTGCGCGGGAAAACAAAACGGCGTGCGGTCACCTCGTCGCCGTAGAAGCAAGTCCAGTCCGCAGCCTCCTGACCTTCCATCTTCACCGAGCCCAGCATCTCCTTCGCTCCGAAACACCAACACGCGTGACGACGACGAAGAAGACGCCGAGGAGAAGACGACGAGGAGGAGGAGGAGAGTCACCTCCTGCACTCTGCCGGTCCCGGTCCTCCTGGTCCTGGTCCAGCTGCAGCTGGTCCTGGGGCTGACGGGAGGACTCCGAGTCAGTGAGCTGACCAGAACAAGAAGAAGAAGAAGGAGAAGAAAAAGAAGAGAAACTCCGCCTGATGAAGATGAAGGGCCGGCCCTCCTCTTCCTCCTCCACCACCTCCGTGCCATTCATCATCATCATCATCATCATCCTCCTCATAATTGTGATTAAAAAAAACAAAAAAAACCCAACAACAACACTTCATCCTTCATTCAACATTTAGAGGTGTTTTATTTTAAAATGTCATTATTATATAGTGCTTAAACATCGTGGCAAATGGATGGCGTGTTCAAAACATTAAAAATAAAAATTATATATTTGAGCTACGCTCCACCCAATAACAATTTCAACATCGGTTGTCGACTACAGTATTTGTATTCATCATGACAAAATTCAATCATACCCAAAATGCGCAAAACGATTTCATGAACAATCTGAATGTTGGTGTCAAGAAAATAAATGCAAAGCAGGATGGTTTCAATCGCCACAACTTTAATTCTCTTTCAAATGCAACGAATTGTTTTGTTTTTTGTTTCACCCCTTCAAATAAAAAGTATAGATTTTTAAAATGACTATTTCGACCTTTTTTTCATTATTTCGACGCGTGCGTTTTAAAAACATACGAAAAAAATAATGTTTCATTTGTACATCGATGATTTCATTTCTGGCCATAATTTATTGGAACAACGTTTCAATATTATTAAGATTGTGATTCAAATAAACAAACTAATAATAATTACACCAGTGACGCTTGATTTGCCGAACAATCCGACCGTTGGACTAATAATAATATTTGCCGTCCGTCATTTCATTGACGTGTCACAAAGCAGGCGCTACGTCAAAACATCCAAACAAACTGATCGATGACGCAATCCCCACCATATTTCTATACCACGCCCCCTCACTGATTTCCGACACTGTGCTGCTCGAGGGAGTGTGCGCGCGCTGAAGAATGTCAATTGGACGCTGCCACCTGGTGGCCAATTAGGGAAACTGCGCGCAGATGACGGCGGCCTACATTGCCCAGCAACCCTCAGAGCACGTGCACTCGGCTGCCACCAGGGGGAGTCCTCTTACTGGGTTTTCTGCTAAGCAGGAGTCTGCCGTGTACGTGCACGTCTACGTCAGTGTTTCTTCCTGGATGTGAATTTGTGTGTCACAAAAAAAAATACAAAAAAACAATCACCGTGATGTCATCAATCAGCGAACAATCCATCACTGATTCGTAACTGTGATGTCATTGGCGAGAACAAATGACTTCACCACCACCTCAACACTCACGAGGCCAAGTTGTCTCTTTGTTCAGCCTCCTTTTGCTTCTTGCTGCGCCTCCTCAGGCAGCACCAAATCATCAAACCGGCAACGAGGGCGAGAACCACCAGAGCTATCGCCGCCCCCACCAGGGCCGGCACCAGCACCCCCGCGAAGGGCCCGGGGGCGTCGCTCTCGGCGGGCTCGCACAGCGTCCCGTTCTGGGCGCACACGCACGTGTAGGAGCCCGCCGTGTTGACGCACTCGTGGCGGCACCCGTGCGGCTCCGAGCACTCGTCCACGTCCACGCAGTCCCCCAGGATGTCCTTGCGGTACCCGGTTCCGCACGGGGTGCAAACGGTGCTCAGGTTGGCGGGGGCGCCACCCGCTAGGCGCCACACTCCGCCCCGGCCCCAGCAGTGCAGATCCAGACGGACTTTGGACCAGCAGTCCACTTGGATCCTGCTGCTGTTGTCAGGGTCCAGACTGAGGAAACGAGCTCCGGCAACCACGGGGTGGAGGCACGAGCCAGATCCTGATTCTGCACCGGCATCATGGCCTGGCTCATCGGGTCTTCTTCCGGGTTCCTTTGGTTCAGGTCCGGCGGTTTCAGGATGAGTAGATTCGGGTCCAACAAGATCCGGTCCGACAGGTCCAGGTTTTGGTGTCTCCGGTCTTTCTGACAGTTCAGGTAGAGCAGGTTCAGGTGTAGCAGATTCGGGTCCAACACCTTCTCGTCCAGCAGGTCCAGGTGTCGGTGGCTCTGGTATTTCTGGTTTTTGCTCAGATAATTCAGGTCCCTCCGATTCAGGTCTGGTAAATTCTGGCCCGGTTGTTGTGGGTCCAGCAGATTCAGGTCTTGCAGATTCCGGTTGAGATGATTCTGGTCCAGCAGGTTGAGGTGTAGCAAGCTCAGGACTAGCAAATTGGGGTCCAGCGAGTCCCCCGTCGTCTGACTCCAGGTTGCATATGAAGCGGTTCTTGGTCTTGCAGCTGAGCGGCACCAGCCCCCAGTCGGTGATCGCGGACCCATCCGACTGGGCGACGATTCCCGCACAGAGAACTGACGTGCAGGTCTGTTCCGGCTCGTGAGCCCAGAGGGTCTCGCTTGTGTCCTCGCCCCCCTGGGTCCATTTGAAGCCTCTGAGGGGCAGCGAGGGGACCACACACTGGTTCTTGGCCTTCTTCAGCCCCACCCAGAAGGTGGGCGACCCGGCCGGCGGCGACTCGGCAATCGCGGCGAGGATTCGGGCGAGCTCCTGCGGTCTGGCGAAGGAGGCCAAACCGTAGGGGAGGCACACCTCCTGCGCTTGCTCAAAGGGGAGCGGCGAGGGATGCAGCACGTAGCGCCGGCGCCAGTCGAGGGCGGCGGACCCCGTCGTCAGGGTGAGTGCGAAAACCAACAGCTGAAGAAAGACGGACGGGGGCAGCGGCAACATGGCTGACTCCTCCTACCGGACTGAAGAGGGAGAAACAAGTCGGCTCAGATTGTAGGGATTGGGGAACGCGTGCGTGCACACATACATATGTACGAGTGTGCATGCTAAATGGCAAATGTATCGAAATTCACTTGGGGAACGCGTGCGTGCACACATACAGTTTGTACTAGTGTGCATGCTAAATGGCAAATGTATCGAAATTCATTGCTAACTTGTTAGCACACAGTGGCACATTCGCGTGTTCACACTTGATCTTCTCTTTCAAAATGGTCAAAGAAACACATCCTCGCAAAGGCGTCTCCGCCGCACAAACGCAAATTGGCATTAAGCGCCCCTGATGTCATCCCATTTGGAATTTGACCGGAAGAGGAGAGTTCAGCAAAAAAACGTAGCAGCAGTTACACAGTTTGACCCTGAAACAGATGAATTGCGCTTCAAGTAAGGTGGATTTGCAAAACAAAACAAAAATTCTTACCTTGAAATGTCTTTTCCTTTCTTGTGCGGCTCCGAACTTGTCTCGTGCCGTCTGGCAACCTCACCCTCAGCGCCAACCCCCACCACACACACACACATAGCCTGGACCTCCAAACACCCGCCCGCCTATTTCCTGCCGGGACAGGAAGTGTGCGGTGTCTTGATACGAGTAGCCGCCTTCCTCAAATCCTGGTTTTCTTTCTTCGGGGGCTACGTCGAGTTAGCCCGGCGGCCACGTCATCGCTTTCATTTGGGTTTCCTCCATGCGGATGGCAGGCCAATTAAATGACACACACACACACACACACACACACACACACACACACACACACACACACAGACACAGAGCAACAGGAAGGATGCGTCTCATCTTGCTCTGGTCTAATCGATCTTAATGACTTGAAGGAAATAGTTGAGTCTCCGACAGGAAGCGCGCTGGTGCGGGCGCGGGTACGCGATTCACCGACATTCTTCTCGCTCGTCCAATTGTTGTCGTGGCAACGCAGTTGCTTCCTGTTTCCCGGAGGATAAAAGAATGTCAGGAAGGCCGAGGTCACGTTTTCATGTTGTCATAGCAACGTGGCGGATTTGATTTCGGCAGGAGTTTTATGCTCCCGTGGCCGCCTTTCTGAATCGTCGGCGAGTATCTACTTCCGCGACATTTCCACTCGCGGCGCCAAGTTTGTCAAAGTGCAGTCGATCCATACTTCTATATACTTTCCTGTATCTCGAGACGTATCGAACTACACGAGGTCTCCGCTTGTCAACCTTCCTGGATTGACAGGAGGTCTATAAACGCGTGTGACATTTAGAGCTAAGGGAAAGGCGACACTAACGAAAGACCCTAAAGCACGAGATATGGTCCAGGAAGGTCAAGAAGGGTCAATCCAGTTTCAGGAAGGCCCATAAAGGTGCCTGAAGGTTTTCATATTCAGGTCCAACAAAGCTCCCCAAAGGTCCACAGAGGTCTATCAAGGGCGAGTGCGACTTTCTGTCAAAAGATAAAACGGTGTCGAAAAATGCTCATCAAGTACGTGCAGGTCCATCATGACTCTTCAGAAGGTCAACAAAGTCCAAAACCAGATCCATAAAGGTCTCAAAAAAAGTGCAGCTAGGACCACAACGGGACTCGAAAAAAAGGTCCACGGAGGGAAATAAAAGCTTCATTTGGGCCCGTGAAGCTCCGTCAAGAAGGGCCATGAAAGTTTGCCAAGATTGATCAGGACCCAAGAAGGTTTTGGAGTTGCAAAACGTTTATTTGAACAAAGAGAGTGGCCACAAGCCGGGGGGGGGGGCAAGCCCCCCTCCTTCTTCCGAACGCTACGAACATGTGATCACGCCGCGTCAATCAAACGAGAAGATGTCGCAACGCGTCAAGCGTTTCAGGCAGCACGCGCAATACAACGACGGCAACGAGGGCACGCTAGGCGGCGCTGGACACGGCCAGCTTCTTCAGGTGGTCCATGAAGACCTGCAGGCTGACGTCATCCGTCAGGATGGGTGCGCCCGACTCCTGCCGGAAAAACGCACGTTTATCCAGCAATCGCTCAATCGCTCAAGCGATCGACAAACAACGCGAGGTCGACGGCTCACCTGTCCCCAAGCGTACATGTTGTTGTGCGTCTGCGAGGGGTTGACTTTGGAGAGCAGGAAGCGAGCCTGGCAACCATCATCATCGTCATCATCATCATGTTGACGTTCCCTAAGCGGTACCTTGACTTCGGAATGCACCAACTTGCGCAAATTTGAGTGCGTTTGGAATCGGGGAGAGCGGGTAGCGACTTGATTTGTTTGCTCAATTGGGGAGGGATTGCGCACTTTTTGCACGATGGGACTTCACATCTGGATTTATTGACTGGAAGCATTTCCCTGCCTGAGAACAAGAGACTGGCGAGCTTGCCCTGTTGAAATGCGGCACAGGCAAACGTAGCAAGTTTACTTTTTGCACCACACTGACCCGTTGCCGACTTTTTGTCCCTACGCTTTGGAATGCGTTGCGGCACAGTTTCGCAACTGCGCTTCGGTCAAACGAGGGAATTCCGGGTCGCGGTAGCGGGCCCGTACAGCCTGATTTCAAGGTATCGAGTACTTCTGAAAACTGCTGATATCATCCACCGATACTTGAATAAGTTCTCTGGGGCGAGACCGCAGCAGATTGGCACACGCGATGATTGTCATTGCCCGAACGGAAAGTGCGAGAGAACGCACTCGCACTGGTATCGATGTGGAAAAAATAAATGAAAAAAAAAAATTCAGGCCGTAAGTCAAGGTAGCACTGTAGGCAGGTTGAAAAGTTTCACGCTGCCCCCCCACAACACACCTGGCTGCCGCCGTGCTCTGTGTCAATGTATCGGGGCATGGGGAAGCGCGAGTGCAGCAGCTCCTGGGCGTCGTCCACCGGAGCCTGAAGGAGGTGCCGGAAGTTCTCGTACTCGGCCATCTCCTGGTAGCCCGCCTTCCTCCACTGGGACACCGTCTTGACACGCGCGACCAAAAAAAACACAACAAATATAAATAAGTCATGCTCGGAAGCGCGCCGCACGCGTGTGTCTTGAGTGCGCGTACCTCTCCGTGGTAGATGAGGATTTGGAAGAAAGTGTCCATGAGCAGGATGCGATCTGGAAGAATGCTGCTGCTGTCCAACAACACCGGCTGCATCCCCCAAAAAAAAAAAAAAAAAAAATCACATCAAAGATTTGGCAATCAGTTAAAGAAAAAAGGGGGGGGAATAAATAAACATCTGCCCATTTGGCATGGAATGTGTCGTAGGACACCGACCTCGGGCGGTCCCTGGAAGGAGTACGCGTAGAGGACGGGCTGGATCATGATCAGCGCCTGCGTCAGCTCGTGCCGGTTGAACTGGTGACGGTAGTACGAGCTCTCGTCCGGACTGTTGTTGAACACCTGCAGGAAGGGCGAGCGCCGCAGGTGGAACATAAACTGAAACGGAGAGAGAGCGCACGGTCAGTCGGGGCTGGCGGGCTCGCGTGCCGCCATCGCGCCTCACCTGAGGGTACAGCGAAAACGTCTCGGAGAACCTGAAGGAGTTGGGATCGTCTTTGTGGTAATCGCCGAACTTCTGACACTGGTGGGAAAACAGCCGACGGTCACTCACGGCTTCGGCGACAGATATGGAAAATGACTGCGTTTGGGGGGGGGGGGGCCTTTGGGCAGTTACGAAGACACCAAAATGGAGTTTTCATTTTAGACTTAAACAAATAAAATAAGAAAACAACTCCCAGTTGAGGTATTAAGCACAGAACTCCGCGAGCTCAATGCTAAAGCGCCACAAAAAAGGCACGGAAAAAATTAGCGACGAGATGGCGGTGTTCCAAAGTTTCAAGCAACAGATACTTGAACACAAGTAGTGCAGCAACTCCTGTCGACATACAATTAGAGACTCGTCGGTCTGCCTTTCGGGGCCACGAGCAATTATTAGAAGCCGAGGAGGCCGACCGCCGTTATTTGGCAATTGATATTTATTTGCCGTAAAAAGGAAGATAGAAGTCAAGTGTCCCGATCAGAGATCAACTAAATAGGGCGATAACCGGTCTACCCCGACATATGTAGGTACAAGCAAAAATTCCTCCTCCTTTTCAAAAAATGTTTCCTGCGACTTCGGCTTACAGTCCGATGAGAAACTCTTCATTGAATACTGCCTCCTGGTGGCCAACATGAGGAGAACAATGTGCGGTGAAGGAATGAAATGCGGCTATATATAATATGTAATCATAATAATAATAATAATAATAATAATAATAATAATATAAATAAATAAAATAAATAATAAAATACAAGCTCAGTGATGGAATAAATCCAACTTGTACTTTTTGTGTGTGTGTGATTTGATTGGAGTTTTTTGATACGCGAAGCGCGCCCGGCGATCGGACGACGGGCGAGCACTAACCAGTCTGATGAGCTGTCTGTCCAACCACCTGAGCACGTCGGGCCCCTCCTCCGTCTCGGCGCGCTGAACCGCCAGCCGGGCCATCAAGATGGCCGCCGCCTCTTGATCGAAGGACGCGGCGATGCTTTGGATCTGCGTCTGCGCGTCCGCCCAGCTGCCGCGCAAACGGGGGACGTGTGACGAATAGGAAATAAATACATGAATAAAGAATGAAATAAATATGTGGTCGGGTGCGCGCGTCTCACTTCCTGGCGATGGTGGTGACGCGTATGCGTCTCTGGCCTGACGCGTGCTGGTACTGCGTGACAAACTGCAGAGCTCCACGGCCGCCTTGAGGGATGGGGGCGTTGTGCTGACCACACACACACACATGTTTGCAAATGGCTTATGGTGAAAAAAATGGGAGTCCGCCTCCAAGACGAGTTGTTCTAGAAGGGGCTGGGGGGCGGGGTCCGTGGATGGCAGGGCGCGTACCTGATTGACCACCTCAAAGTAGAGCGCCAGCGTGGTGCCGGGGTCCAAACCGCACATCTTCCACTGGCACGTCCCCCCGCTGCCGATCTCCTGCCGCGACGTCCACAAACATGTCGTCAGTGTCAGAAAAGGCGTCAACGTCGGGCGAGCGGAGGCGGGCGTACATTTTCGGAGACGCAGGGTCCTTTGGCGTTGAGCGACACGCAGGGCCCGATGGCTCCCGACACTTTCAGCTCCCTGGAGGTCTGAAAGGGAAAGCGCATTGCTCGCTCTCTTTCCAAGCTCCTCCCCTTCTGCTTGCTCGGACCGCCTTAAAGGTGACCGGGGGGGCGGGGCCATACCTTGACTTCCAGTGTGGCGGCGAAGGCCATCTTGAAGGAGCCTTGAACGTCTTTGGAGAAAACTCTCTGGAAGGTTTGCTTGAACAGCGACGTGTTGAACGAGTCGGCCATCACCATGTAGCCGCTGCGAGCGCCCATGCGCAGAAAAAAAAACCACACACACACACACACGGAGGCGCCCAAATGGCACTTTAACAATCTTTTCATGCGTTATTGTTCATAAGGAATATTTAGTGATGCGAAGCCACCCATCATGTTGACGATTCGGCCAGCGTTTCCGTTTGAAAACGAACACGACTCCGAGTTGTGTCTGCGCTCCTTGCCTCCGGATCGGCCTTCGGTGAACCGTTGGCTAAGCCCCGCCCCCCCCGTCCATTTTTAACACCGACATCTTTTTTCGACCCGACAAAGCGACTGCGCGTCCTTGTGATTTTACGTTGTGATGCAAAGTGCTTTGCGGCGGCCGCAGCCGGTTGTGAAATGCGCCGTGGAAACAAAGCCGTATTGTTCTTGTACAAACATTCCGAGTAAATCACGATGTCCCGTCACTTGTGAACCGTGGCTTCATTGAAGCCCCCCCCCCCCCCACCCCTGCAATGGTATGTCCCGCGCACGCATGCGTGAGGGTGTGCGTGCGTACCCCGTGTTGTTGGCACAGCACTTCATCTCCAGGAGTCCGGTCTGGTCCAGCGCACACGCGTAGATGTCCATCACGTGACCGCTGGCGGAGGCCCGGCTCGCCAGCGCCTCGTAATGCTGGCGCCCACAAACACGCAGGTCAGCCGCGCGGCGCGCGGACGGAGACGCGGACGCGGGCCCGCCCCCCCGCGCTCACCTTGGCGGCCTTCTTCATGAACTTGGCGTTGTCCTTTTCGATGTCGTGCCAAGACCTGATGGGGATCTTGAGCTCGTCTCCCACCACCATGCCGGGACCTTGCGTGGCCGGACCCCCGATGAAGGTCATGATGCGCGCGCCCGTGTTGGGGAAGGTGCACTGACACGACAATGGCCAGAAACGGCGGGTCAACTGCAGCATGAAGCCCCTCAACTCATTTCGACGTACTCCCTTCGCCACAAGGATGGTGGCCGAGCACTACTTTTGTCTAAATGGGCTCAATTCAACACAGTTGCCGGACGGTAAATGTCACCGGATGAGTGCTGAGCACTACTTTAGTCCCAAGTGAGCTGCTCAATTCACTTCAACCGGCGAGCTCCGAGATGCCGGCGACAACTGTGGCGAGGAGCCACAGTGAGATCGGGCCCTCGAGGAGGCGTGCGCGTGTGGAGAAGGCGCGTAAGGACGTGGCGCTCACCTCCAGCAGGCCGACGGCGATGGACATGGCCACGCCCAGGGAGCGCAGGGGCCTCTTACCCTGGACCACGGGCCAGGAGTCGCGCTGCAGCTCCCCCAGCAGGTCAGTCAGGTTCATGTCCACCTTCTGGACGGGCTGCAGGAACCTGCGAGCACAACCGGAGCCGTTCAGTGGTTGGCGTTCCCGCGCGGCCGCCGGGTTACCGCGAGGCCGGGGGGAGGAAGATCCTCGCCCCTGGGAGGAGGCCGCCGGTTTGGCCAGACCCAGCATCTCCTGCACATTACCCACAATTCACAGCACGTTAGTGCACCAGGCACGTCGCATTAGCCGCATCGGACGATCTGTGAAGCGGGAAACCCGACACTAGCGATGCAAAACTGACGGCGCGTGATGAGCAGAATTGGGGTCGCGTCAATCGATAGCAGCGCGTGACTAGCATCGGCTTCTTAGCATAATTTAGAGGTGACATGAGCAGCATCTGCTTCTCATCACCAATTAGTATCAAGGAGAAGCTCCGCCCTGCAGTTAGGATCCTCCCGTTAGAATCAAGGATTAGCATAACCGGGTTAGCATCGGTGATTTTGGTCATCCGCTTAGCAACAATGATGAGCATCATCCAGGAGCAGAAATGGCGATCATCGTTGATTAGCGTGATCCGGTTCACGTGAATCATCAAGATCACTTGACAAGCGGCTCAGGCAATGGCTGGATGGAGGGACGGTTAGCATTGTTTAGCATTAATGTTAGCAACATGTTAGCATTTCGTAAACATCCGGCCGGCGTCATCCAGTGAGCATCAATGATTTTGAGCATCTGGTTATTGCCGAGTATTAGCATCATCAAGTTAGCAGCAGCTGGTTAGCATCAACCATTAGCATCATCTTTTGGCATCACCGATTATCAACAAGGATTACGATGGTTAGTGATTAGCATAAATAATTAGCATAAACTTTTTCAGCACGACCGTATTTGCTGACGCGCCCTCGTCTCACGCGGCAGACCGTTCTTTCGTGTGATGAGATTGCAAAGACCGACTGACATTGCGTTAGCATCATCCCATTAGCGCCGTCTCTTGATGGGCATGAGCCAATTCGCATCAAACACCAGCAACGTGTGGTCGAGGGGCGGCGGGTGAGCAGACCTGCAGCTGCTTGGCGCTGAGGTCTTTGGTCCCTTTGAAGACGTAACTCTTGGAGATGCCCTCGCAGCCCAGCTCGTGAACGTGGACGATGCGGCCGAAGGTGATGAGACCCACCAGAGCCGTGGGGGGCAGCAACGACAAGGACATCTGCAGCGACTCCTTCAGCGCCTGCAGGTCCTCCTCCTCCATGCACGTGTCCACCACGTACAGGAAGACCAGCGGCATCTGGGGCCCGCGCTGACGGCGACACACAAAATGGCTGACTTTCCCGATGAGTTCAAGGCCTTCGCTTCAATCGCAATCATCTTTTCGACAGCTAGTCAGACGAGCGAGTCCTCATATGACACGCGTATCTTGAGCAAGTAGTCGAGGCTCTTCGGAGCTCCCGGACGGGGCGCTCCGGTGGGGCTCACCTGGACCACGTACTCGATGGTGGAGAACTGAGGCAGCAGCTCGGCGGGCTGGTTCACCTCCGAGATTCCCGAGTAGGACGGCGGGAACTGAGAGGAGCGGCGAGAGCAAAGGGGGTGAGGCGCAAACGCGCGACCCGGCTGGCCGCGACAGGCGCAAGCGGAAGCGGTACCTGGTTCCTCTGGTAGCAGAAGTTGCACGCCCATAGCTTGGCCCGGTAGTCCACTTGGCTGCGAGACAAGGACGGCACGAGACAGCGCTGACGGGAACGGTTTGGTCGGCATTTTGCAAAAAATTCCCTTCCCCCGAAAACCCGCGCGCGTGCCTCGACACGTGTATGCGAGCGTGAACGTACCAGAGCGGGTTGAGCACGGCGCGGCAGGTGGCGCGGCTGCAGAGCACGGGCTCGTACTGGATGGGCGGCAGGTCGGGTCGCTCCTTGAGTGGCGTGAAGAGGGCGGCGACGGGCACCACCATGCGCGTGGCCTCCAGCCGGCTGGACGGCCACACGTTCCAGCTGAAGCGGACGCCGTCGCGCTCCTCGTTCTGGGCGATGTACTCGGGGAAGGTCGCCATGGCAAAACCGACTCAGTCACTTGATGAGTAACGCCTCGGTGGTGCTGCGGTCACAGAAGACCCGCACACTTCACATGTGAGCGCACATACACATACAAACTTCACAAAGACACACTCACACATACACACGCACTTATGCAAATATTTCTCACACCCACACACATTGACACGCTCCATGCATGCACATTCACACACAAACCTAATATACCCCAAAACTCAACCACTTGGCCACACAAAAAAAAACAACACATTTTACACGCACAATTCTCAAACTAACACTCCATACACACTCACACACACACACACACACTCACACACACACACAATAAAAAATGAATCAATGAAAATATTCAAACTATTAGACTTCACTCACCCACACGCTCACGCGTTCGCGCACGCGCGCACACACACACACACACACACACACACACACACACACACACACGTCGAAATCAGGCAGTGAACTAAAAAGAAAGACAACACCACTACACTTACACACAAGAGACAAGTCAATCGTGTGACGTCACGTCGCCACTTTCATTCATGTTGCTTTGGCAGGCAGGAACGTGTCACGACAAAGAGCATTCGGCGTTTATGTTGACAGCCTATAAAACATTTTTGGCTGACACAAAGTCTTTGAAATGTTCGCCGACTGGCATGATAAGTGAGTTAGCCGCCGCACCGGCATGCTAACCACTAGCTAACTAACCGGCTAGCTACTGAAAATAAAAAGCTAGCGGAACACCAAAACCAGCCCAAGACAAAACGTCACTCACCGCTTGGCTCGTTCACTCCGCAACGAGGTCGCTTTTCACGAGTTCACTGTTCACGCGTTCACTTTGAACGCCGGAACCCTGCGACGGTCCACTCTGGTGGGCGTGAGGAACTCTCGGTGCGCGCGCGCGCTGGTGCGCGCGAGCTTGACAACGAAGCAAAACAACATGGCGGCGTCGACGCCACGTCAAGACAAAGATTGCGCCGAGAGCAGCATAGTAGGACTACTCACTCCAACAGCGATTCGGGAGCTCAGACTGCCCCCATCCCAAATAATTTCGCGTCAACTAATTTCACGAAAACGTTAAAAAAAATCATAACCTTTTATTCTCTGGAAGTTTTTGAAATGTATCTCCCGAATGATTTGAACGCCGCTCTCCTTACTTCACAGGACCGAGTGAGGCATCTTCTTAAAAAAGATTCACGCCAGGTGGATTACTTGGGTATTGGCGACGTGACGTCATGAAGATTTTGGTTCTTTCCCCAACCTTATTTGACTCTAAAATTATAGTTCTGAAGGCTGTGGAACGGTCAAGAAGAGTCATACATTAACGCAAATGTGAATTACAAACAGAGAAACTGGCATTTGTCCTTGTTTAGTTGTTAAACTTTACAACAGATACATTTTCAAATGGGGAAAAAAAAAGCATGAACTGATGAATTTAGCATTGGCGCTAGGCCCAAATTGTATGCAGCATGAAGCAACTTCGTGAGTGACGTCAGTGGCAAAACATGACGCCCTGTAATGTTAAATGGCGTTCTTATTTTCTTAAAGGAAGCATTCTGTAAAGCACTTTGTTAGAGCTGCAGGTGTTGCGAAAGTGCTAGATAAAGATGTTTTGTATAAGACAAACAAAGGACACCTTCCTCACATTAAACTCAAAATGTCATCTTCGACAGAGTTGCATTTGAAATAAATGTACACATAGAGTTGAACCGTAATGGACACAAGCATTTTTTTTTCTTTGTCGTTTTTTCGCAAAAGCGCTCAAATTCATGAAAATGTAATTCCTTGGGACAAAGATGCCCACAAGGTGGTGAAAAAGCGCAAAATGCAGCTCCTGAATTCATTTCCACATAGTTCCATGGTACCGAGAATGCATTTTGAAGATTTTATAACCAAAGTGAGATTGTAGGTAAATGTCACTTTGTAAGTTTTTTTTGCTCACCCCGAGGTTAGTACAAAGATCTTCGAGCAAGCCAGGAAAAGGATGCCATCAAATTCCGATCCAAAAAATCCCACACAAACAAACAAGCCAATTTGAGAATGGGAACTTTCTATATTTCACTCGCAAAACTTTCACAAGGGATGACATCGTTTAGCTCATATCACCTACGATTGCACATCGGATTAAAAATGGACCAATAGAAACGTTGGTTGGTTGCCGCGCCCATCGTCCAGTCTCGTCCAATCAACGCAGCTTCTTCATCGGCATTCAACCCCCCCCAAAAAAAGAAGAAAAAAAAAGAAGAAAGCCGAGTTCCTCCCTCCAGGCAGCGGTGGCATCTGTGCCGCTCACATGTTGTTGAATCCCATCATGCCTTTCATGTTTCCCGCCGCCCCCTGCTGAAACTGACGCATCATCGACTGCAGGCCTTGCATGCCTCCTGCAAACGCACAAACACGCCAACGGTAACGCCAACGTGTGCGTCTCAGAGTAACCCGACTCCCAATTTCACTCGGGGAACATCCGCGAGTTCATTTGTACGCGCGCGGGACGGAGCGTTCGTTACCCATATGGTGAAGCACTCGCGGGTCCATCATCTTGGCCATCTGCTGATTGAGTTTGGCCATCTGCGAAGGGTTGACGTTCTTGGACATGTCTCCTCCTGAACGCGCACAAAGCAGAACACGGATCAGGAGGCGCGCGGCCGCCACCCGACGCGACGCGGCACGGCGGCCGCCGAGCGACGCGTCACCTTTGAAGAGGCCTTTAATCCCGCCCATCTTCTTGACCATCTGCGCAAACTTTGTGTACTGCGTCAGAAGTTCTTGGACGTCCCGCGTGGCCACGCCCGCTCCGCGGGCCACGCGCTGGATGCGGTTGGCCTGCTTGCTGAACAGCTTGGCGCCGTCCTTGCTGTCCAACTCTACGAACAGACGCGGTTTTGTACTTGGTGATGATCTGAAAGTCGTTTTTGTTGGTTGCCGCCGGGCAGCAACCGTCACAAGTTTTCCTTATTGAACGAACCCTCCACAACTATTTCTCTATGGTAGCTTGACAAACAGCTAGCTAGCTATCTAGATAGCGAGATAGATATACGAGTTAATATTTTGACCATCCGCAACTATTTTGTTGAGGTTGTTGACAGCAACATTTTGTTTGTCGACCATCTGTCAGTTTTGTTCGTTGTGGATCGTCGTCATGTGAACCATCTGCAACTGGTTTTCATTGGTTGGCGATCATCCGCAGCTAATTTGTCGACGAACATCGTGGCAACAGCCAATCAAAGTGCCGGGGGGCGTGTCGTGCAACCTTTGACCCCCACCCAAAAAAAAAAAAAATTTTAAAAAACCTAATGCGTGAAGTGAGCACAAGTGAGCAGCGGGTTACCTTGGTCGTTCATGCTGTCCATGATGGTCATGAGTTTTTTCAGCCTGGCCATGGATTCCTGCTCGTTTCCTTTGCTCATGAAGTCCGTTCCAAAGCCTGGAATCATGCCCTACGCACGCACGCGCCCATTTAGTCGCTGCTCAAAAATTAGGCCGGATGGTTCCGTGAGTGGGGGATATGGGGGGGGCTTACCATGATCTGTCCAAAGGGTCCCATCTTCATGATGTTCTGGAACTGTTCGTACATGTCTCTGAGCGTGAACTGGCCTGAAGGGCAGAAGGCGCGCGTCAAACGCGTGCGGCAATCGGGAGGAACCCGAAGGCGACCCGGCGTCATGGGGAACCTCACCGTGTTTGAGCTTGTTGATCAGGTCCTCGTTGTCGTCCAGCTTGAGCTCGTTGACTCTGTCGATCAGGCCCTCGATGTCGCCCATGCCTGACGGGAATAGGAAAGCGTTCAAGACGAGAGGCCGGCTTTCTTCCGGCAGCCCGGCCGGCGCGGCGGAGTACCGAGCAGCTTGCTGACGAACGGCTGCGTCTTGAAGGGCTCAAAGTCGTCGATGTGCTCGCCCGTGCCGATGAAGATGATGGGACTGCGGGTTGCCGCCACCCTGACGTGAAACAGGCGCCCGTCAAACAAAAAGCTCAGAAAAGATCGCCGAGCCACCTCCTGCGGCGCTAAGACTTCTCGAATCTTGCGTACGTGTCTGCGCCGCGATTGCAGCCGCTCTGTTCATATTATATGAAAAAGTCCTAATTTGTTTTATTTGTCTGCTTACGCGCTCAGAGCTCCTCCTCCTTTCGCGTGCCCGTCCAGTTTGGTGACGATGACCGACGCCACGTCCACTTTGTCTTTGAAGGCTTTGGCCTGAGACTCGCAGGCCTGACCGATGGACGCGTCCATCACGTAGACGATGTTGTCCGGTTGCTACGGAGACAAACACCCCCGAGGATGACTGATGCTTCGGGGGCAAGGGGGGTTATGAGGAGCAGAGCGGCGCGTTCAGGTGCTCACCACGGCGTTGGAGACTTGCAGCATCTCCTCGAAGAGCGAGTCTTCCTGTTTGTGGCGTCCGCTCGTGTCCACGATGATGATCTCAAAGTTCTCCCCTTTGAACTTGTCCACGCCCTCTGCGGCGATCACCACCGGATCCATTTCTGTGTAACTGAAGGCAAACGTGTGTGGGGGGGCGGCCTGAATGATGAGGAACCCGGCAGCGACGCGGAGGAATACGCAACAGCGACCCAACTCAACTCGAATGTGAACGTGCCAAACGCTCGTCCACCGTGCCGCCCACTTCAGCACTGTCATTTTCCGCTTTTCGAAATGATTTGAGTTCAGCAGAACGAAAACATACGCAAACGTGAAGACGCCAGCGAGCTTCGAACGGACAACCCCGGGCTAAATGGGGCTCCTCCGTGACAGAGAAAGAGATTAATGAGTCGAGATGCGTGACTTTCAACACACAGTACCTCCTTGACTTCAATTACTAAAGAAAAAAAAAAAAAAAGGTCAACCATGAGTATGCACGGGCTTCCTGTACCGAGCCGAAGGCTTCAACCGAGACTCACCTGCCATAGAAGGGGATTCGGGCCTTGGTGGCGTTCTGTTTGAGCTGATCAAAGGCGCCTGCGGACAGGAGAGATTCCTTGGTGGCACCATTTCAAAAAAATATTCAGAATGGGCCGCACTTCAGTATATTCTGACGGAGTCCGAATGAATTCATATCGTTGTTTGCGCATTCAAGGACCCAGAAATTAAATTATTATTCATGATATTTTTTTTTTCTTCCTGCCAAACACCAGAACCTGCCTCAAAATTAAAAAAAAAAATTCAAGAAATTCCGGTGGTGCGCAGCGGCTTACCGGCTCGAAAGGTGTCGGCGCATATGAGGCACGTCTTCCAGCCTTTTCTCTGGTAGTAATACGCCAGCTGCGAAATGGACGACACGGACATTCATGTCACAAGTCAGGGGTGGTGTCTTTTCTGGAGCAGGTGAGCGAGGTGGCACCTTGGAGCAAGTTGTGGTCTTGCCGCTGCCCTGCAGGCCGACAAACATGATGACGTTGTTCTTCCCTTTGGAGGGCGTCCACGCCTTCACGCCGGGGTCCACCAACTAAAGACCGCACGACGACAAAAGCGGCACAATGGTTCTCCCGTCATCCATTCCTTTTTTTTTTTTTAAACATTTTTTGCTTTGGTACCACTCTGACCTTGACCAGCTCCTTGAAGACGGCGTGCTGGATCATCCTCCTCTTGTTCAGACCCGACGCCATCTCCTCCAGGTCGATGGCGGCCCTGCGGGGACAAGAACGAAAGCGTCCGGATGTCAAACGGGAAGCTCGGGCACTTGGTAAAAATCCCATTTGGCGCACATCAGCAAGGAAACTGCTAAATGTTTTCTTTTGTTTTTTGTTTTTTTTTCCTTCTTCTTCTTCCAAAACTCACTTGACATTCTCTCGCAGCTGCTTGACCAGCTTGATGTTGACGTCGGCCTCCAGGAGGGCGGCGCACACCTCCTTCAACATGGAGTTGAGAACCTGGTGGGAGGAGACGCGCAAAAAGCTGCCTTTGGAATCCTTTGCTCGCGCCTGACTCGCCGTTTGGGGATTTTGCCCGAGCGGACAATATGTCGAGTTGCGTTACCTCTTCATTGATGATGGTGGCGGTGCTGAGCGACCTCAGCGCCGACGTGATCTTGCGGCCCAGATCGGCGAGCACCATGATGACGTGTGATGCTGCGCGCGCGCACCCTCCGCTCTACACGCTTCCACCTCTGCTCAGCGCACGCACAAAACAAACACGTTGGTGTGATAGGATACAGCCTCACTGAACCTTTTTGAAAATTTTAATTAAAAAAAAAAAAAAAGGGCTGAAAAGCAGACAGAAGTATTTGGTCCTTTATACTTTTTGGTGTGATAGGATGCAGCCTCACTGAACCCTTTTGAAATTTTTAATTTAAAAAAAAAAAGGGCTGAAAAGCAGACAGAAGTATTTGGTCCTTTATACTTTCGATTACATATCATATTTACTAGCTTAGAGGTAAACTTGAAAATGGGTTTTGACCCGTGACAAAATGGATGAACACTGTGGGACCAACTGTCGCTTTCGATTACATATCATATTTACTAGCTTAAGAGGTAAGCTTGAAAATGGGTTTTGACCTGTGACAAAATGGATGAACACTGTGGGACCAACTGTCACGGCATGCAAGGTTGGAGACGCGCTAGAGTTCGATAGCGTGCAGAGATCTTGCATAGTGTGATGGATACGAGAAGATAACTTACGTATGGGTGGCGGGGAACGCTCGACTGAGCGGTTCAGCTGACAGGAAGAGGGCACCAACACTTCCTGTACACTGCGGAGGAAGGGGGGGTAAATTATTGGCATCTGCATGTCACCATGGCAACAGTACACAAGGGAAGCTGAAGCCCGTTTCAGTATTGCTGACATTTGGCCGAGGGGCGCAGTCCACTACATCCTGGTCTGGACGGAACCATTCACGATTTGTATTTTCATCGGTTTCTTACTGCCTGAGGACTCTTGGGTTCGTCGGAGACTCGTGTCGCGATCGCGTTTCATCAATCTCACGTCATTACGGAACCATTCACGATTTGTATTTTTTCCATCGGTTTCTTACTGTCTGAGGACTCTTACTTGGGTTCGTCGGAGACTCGTGTCGCGATCGCGTTTCATCAATCTCACGTCATTGAGAGGGACATCTGACTCCAGTATAAGAAGGAATCAAACCCGCACGCGAATGCAAACTGGCTTTGAGCGCACGCACCCCGCAATCTCTGCGCGACACCCAATGTCGCAAGTGGCCAGACTTGTTTGGGAGCAATGAAAGCGCTGCATCCAGCTGTTGGAAGTTCAATAAAATAAAGCGATGTGGTTCGCCATATTTGCCAGATGAGTCTATTAGTTTTCACACGTTGTAACAACAGACTGGATTGTTGGCGACATTTTTCCGAAAACTTCCGGGCGCAGGCTGACAGACGCGTCCGTCGACACACATAAATACAGCAGCCAGCTAACCAATGCTAACGTTAGCAGTTAGCTCGCATGTCGCGCGTTCGGTAGTCCAGGTCAACTCAACCCGAGTGACGAAATACGCACCAAAAGACAAGATAACGCCGAGAAGCCCTACTTGGAACTTTTCCACTCGGCGACTTTGTTTGTGGCTTCGTCACAGCCGCGAGCTCGGGTTGCTCGTCATCACTGTACTCACTCAGCCGGAAGTTACTTCTTCTGCCTTCTTCGTTGGGCGCGAAGGCGCGCGAGCGTTCCTGTGTCGCCACCTACCGAATAACTCAAAGCAGCGACGCGCTCAGTGTGGCTAATTTTTCCAAACAAAATACATTTTTTGACCCACCAAGCACATCATTTTAAATGAATTCCGATTCAGTAAATCGGATTTACTAACGTCTGTACGGTGGTGAGAAGAACATTGCCGTGTGGTGATATTTCATAGACGCTCAACGAGCGAATTTTTTTAATGCGTTTCTTCGTGAATGAGGCCCATGGTTCTTTTCAAACAGGTTTTCTATTGTTCGCATGGATGTCATAGTAAATCGGATTTACTAACGTCTGTACGGCGGTGAGAAGAACATTGCCGTGCGGTGATTTTTCATAAGACGCTCAACGAGCGAATTTTTTTAATGCATTTCTTAGTGAATGAGGCCCATGGTTCTTTCAAACAGGTTTTCTATTGTTCGCATGGATGTCACCACGCTAGCATTGTGTCACATTGTTCCAGAGGGGAAGACTGTCTTTGACATTAAACGCAGATCCTAGCTAACATGTTCACATGGATGCTAGCTAGCATATTAGCAGAGTATGTTAGCTTGTCACGTTGTTGTTTCCAGACGTTATCACTTATGTTAGCATGGGCCTTAGCACATCAAGTTGTTTCCGAGCAGAAGAAGATAGTTTATTGGTCGGCCTTCAGGGGGAAAAGCAGGAATCCGCTAAAGACGCTAAAGCTCCGCGTGTCGTCGTATAGTCTGTAGCTGGCGGGCAGACTGAGGCGCACGCGGTCTCCCGCCTCTAGTGGGATAAGCGCGCCGTTGGTGGCCGACGCGTAGCCGCCATGGTCGTTGAGGTCAAGGCTGGAGACGATCGGCTGCTGGTTGCGGTACAGGGTGACGCCCATGTAGCCTTTCAGGAAGTCGGCCGCCGTGAAGCTGAACACGTAAACTCCGCCCACGGGGGCCGTGAACACACCTGGCCAAAATGGCAGACCGATCTTCTGTGACATCGTTGTCATTGTTATCATCCATCATCATCATGAGGATGGCGAGTCATCAAAGCTCACCCGAGTTCTCGTCATAAGCTCGGCCGACGTTGGTGAAAACCTTGGAGAAGATCAGAGTGGTCTCCCGGTCGAAGGGTCCCACGGATCCCGAGTCTGTGAGCGCAGCGGCGAAGGCCACCTTGGTCTCACCTAAGAACGACATCGTTAAGGACATCATCGCCACCGGAGACCAACCGAGCGCACAACTCCACGACCTGATGATGTCTGCGTGCTACGCTGCTCCAAAACATGCAAGCGCAACATCAACTCTGTGGAGGGAAAATGTCAACAATGAGAGAAACGCAAGCACGCACACACGAAAAACACTGTGGTTGCCTTACCTTCAGTCGTCACCTTCAAGTCGCTCATCTTCGGCTCGCTCGCGTTTAACTTCCGCAGCAGCTCTGACAGAACAAGTGACATGAGAACACGAGACACACACGTGAACAAAATGAGTGTGACATGAGAACGTGAGTATCTTGAATGCAAACCGAGTGACACGAGAGCAAAATGAGAGGCTTGAGACAGTCAACGTTTCTTGAGAGCAAAATGAGCAGGTGAGGATACCGTGAGAGCAAAAGTACCTTGAGTACATTCGGTCTTGAGCGCAAGCAGAAGTTTTTCGCTGACGTTCAGCCGGAGTTCCAAGGCTGCGCGCACGACGTCAACACCGCCGCACAACAACACAGCCACGTGACCAGAGGAGAAGATGAGAACGGCACCGAGGCGCGAGCGCCAGCGACGTTACCTGCGGCGTTGCGGATGCTGCCGGCCAGTCGTGACTCGGCGTCGTCGAGTCGCGTCGCCCGAGCTGAAGAAGGTCACGACAACAAAAGTGACGAGGACGTGTGAACATTGTCGTGCTCTCGTGCAGACGCACTCGCCTGCGCATTCAGTCTTGAGTTCGTCCACGAGTTTCTCACTGACGTTCAGCCGGACTGCCAACTCTGCGCACGCGATCGTCGACAATACGGGGCGGTCGCGTTACAACGCAGGAAACATGAACGCACGATAGTGTCGTGAGAACGCGTCACATGAGAGCACCTGCATTGTTGTGCGTCGCTTGCGACTCCATCTTGGTCAGTTGGTTTTTCTGAGCTGAAAGACGTCAGAGCGACACTCATCAGAAGCACGCGTGCACGCTCTCGTGTTCTCACACACACGCAAAAAACCTGCACATTCAGTCTTGAGTTCTTCCGCAAGTCTCTCACTGACGTTCAGTCGGTCCACCAACGCTGCGCACACAAACACACGCGGCATGTCAACGTCACAACACAGTCACGTGGCGACAGCATGAGAAGGCCGCGAGGAGATTGTTGCACCGTGAGAAATGCATTCCAGTGATTTGAGAATGAAATCATGAAAACACGACATGAGAGTGACATGACCTCGCATGAGAACAACACCGGCGGGAGGGGAACACCAGGGTGATATGAACACATGAGAACTTGAGAGACTGACCTGAAGTGACGCGAAAAGCGTACGAGAACGTGAGAGCGGCCGGCGAGTACCTGCAGTGTCACGCAACAGTCGAGACTCCGTGTCGGCAAGTCGTGTCGTCTGAGCTGAAGGATGTTACGACAGTCGTGATGAGGATGACGATGACGATGACGTCATTCTCTTATTCTCATCACCTGAGCTCTTCATCCGCAGATCCGCCACTTGACCCTCCGCGAGCTTCAGTCTTCCCGTGACCGTCGACAACTCGCCTAATGTCAGCGACATGCCGGCGTTACGCTTGCGTGCAAAAACACTCGGGCCCTCAACCGCAGACGCACACCTGCGCATTCCGTCTTGAGTTCTTCCAGAAGTCCCTCACTAACGTTGAGTCGGACCTCCGACGCTGCACACAAAACATCAACGGCGCGATGCGGTCAAATTGGAAGGACAACGTCATCGGGACATGACAAATGCTTGTGACATGAGAACAAGAGTGAGAGAATAACCACTCCGGTCACGTGAGGGTGATGAGAGTGGCATGATAACATAACGGGAGTTCCATGAGACCAGCCTGATAGTGACAACAAAGACTCAGTGGCCATTGAATGTAACATGGTGTGCCACAGGGGTCTGTACTAGGACCAGTACTCTTTAGTTTTTACACGCTTCCATCGGCTAGCATGAGAAAGACGCTGTCAACTTCCACTGCTGAGTTGATAACCCAAAACTCTACCTCTTTCTATGAAACCCGAAGAAACCTATCCGCGAAGCAATTTTCAGGAACGGCGTCAAGAATTGGATGACTGATCATTCCTGAGATTGAACTCGACTCTGATTTCATATCCTGGGCTTCTGTGACCTTCCCTTCTATGACATGACAAGCATGCTCATGTGGCGCCGAAAAATAAGACAAAGACCGATCTGCGCCGAGAACCTTCGGCTTCTCCAAATGAGCCTCGGCCATCCGCACGCTGCCCTCAAGACCTTGAAGTGGCGCATTGTATCCAATCGGCTATTAGATAGCATATGAGCGTGCTGCTAGCATGTAAGTGTGGCTGCGGCGTTGTTGCGTTGGAAAGGTGACCTGATTTGACTGCACGTCAACATGGAAAACCTGACCGGAACCGCTTACGGTATGTTTGAGTTTCTAGTCTCCAAACTTTGAGGCCTCCAGAATCACGATCTCCTGAGTGTAGGCCTCTCGAGTCAAAAGTTGTAGGCCTTGTAGACCATCCGGACAGCTGACTGGGGTTTTCTTTCCAGAGCCTCTGTCGAACCTCACCTGACTTGTCGGTCCACAGATCCTCCACAAGGTTTTCCAGCACACTAAGTCGCGCCTTCAACCCTGCAGACCAGAACCATCTCCGTTACAAACACAAACATGCATACAGAGTGATTGTGTGCTTACTTTCACTTTGCGTCTGCGTGTCATTCGGCGCGTTCACCACAGCAGCTGAAAGCAAACAACACATTAAAGCAGAGTCCGAACCCCCGGAATAAAGCCCTCCGGAGTTCAGAGAGAGCCGGCGTCAAGACACCTGAACAAACCAAGTCTAGCCGTCAATAATCAAGGCGGTGTAGAAACATCAACTTATAGTCTTGTGGAATCTAAACTTGCAGAGTCGTTCTGACTCTGCAAGTTTCGATTCTCTTGACCTCAGACCTCCACGGCCAAAACCTCCAGAATCTAGAGTGCCAAAGTCTGGGTCTATGGAGTCCAGACCTCCAGAAGTCAAACCTGCAGGAGGACCGCCAATGCATAGTTACCTTTGATGTCCTGTAGGTGTTGTTCACTTGACATCACTTTGCCCTCCAGGTGCAGTAGTCGAGTATGGAGGGCGCTCATGTTTTGGGATATACGCGATGAATCTGAAAAACAGGAAGTGGATCTCTTCATCAAGACTTCAGACTTTCATGCTCTCAATATTTATGTGGTCTACGTAGACTGACGCTGTTGAAGTCAGGGGGTCCTCGGTAGCCCCATTCCAACCCGTTTCCCTTGCTCCAAACACAACTGCTTCAAACGAGGGATCGTTGACAGGCTGGTGCAAAGCTTGCCGATGAGCTGATCATTGGAGTCAGCCATGTTGGACCAAGGAAACAAACTAAACGGGTGGCGTGGAGGGCCCCAGGGATCGGACTTGGAAGACCCCTCGTCTAAGTGGTCCGAATGGACCGACGTGGTCGAGGTGGACTCACGCCGTTTAACTCGACTGACATGGTGTAAGGAGACTAACATTGTGCAACTGGACAAAGCTCGTCAATTCATGAATCTGAAAAACAGGAAGTGGATCTCTTCATCAAGACTTCAGACTTTCATGCTCTCAATACTTATGTGGTCTACGGAGACTGACGCTGTTGAAGTCGGGGGTCCTCGGTAGCCCCATTCCAACCCGTTTCTCTTGCTCCAAATACAACTGCTTCAAACGAGGGATCGTTGACAGGCTGGTGCAAAGCTTGCCGATGAGCTGATCATTGGAGTCAGCCATGTTGGACCAAGGAAACAAACTAAACAGATGGCATGGAGGGCCCCAAGGATCGGACTTGGGAGACCCCTCGTCTAAATGGTCTCAATGGACCGACGTGGTCGAGGTGGACTCACGCCGTTTAACTCGACTGACATGGTGTAAGGAGACTAACATTGTGCAACTGGACAAAGCTCGTCAATTCGAACCACGAATCCCACCTGTGTCCACGCGGGACTCCGCCTCCCGCCGTTGACCATCCCTGTCTGCGACCAAAGCCGTCGTGTGACCCCGGCTGGAGTTGTGATGGCCTTGCACTTCAGCGTCCTCCACTGCAAAGACGAGAAAACTGAGCCCGAGCTCCCGTTGAAACAGTGACGAGAAAGAGGAAGAGCCTTGCACCTGAGCTCCTCTTCCTCACATTTTCCACCAGGCAAAGTCGAGACGCTAGAACTGTGCGCACACCAATGATGGATGTCATGTGATTTGCGAGGCTGGCTCTGACCGGCCCCGCCTCGATCTCGGAAATTCGGAAACATAACCTGAGCTCTTCCTTTTGAGCTGCTCCAAGGCGCTCTCGCTGGCCCTCAGCCTCGTCCTCAGGAAGGGGAGCTCGCCGGCCAGGGCTGGATAGCGTTTGTCGTGGTTAGCAACCAGTCAGCGGAGGTCATTGTGGTTGGCCACCCATTCGTGGAGGTCCAGTCAAAGGGATGATTCGACTCACCTGATGTCTTCCTCTTGACGTTCTCCACAGAACTTTCACTGGCATTCAGTCTGGACTGGAGCCTCGACACTTCCCCTTGAGTAGCACAACAAATACACGTTTGTTACCTTCAATGACCTCACCTGAATCGTGAGATGCCACAACGGGTTTGATTGGCCCGAGCCAATGACAACTCGACGTAGGGCCCCTTATTAGCTCTCGCCGGCGAGGGGTCACCGAAAGACAGCTGATATTGGTCAATATCAGTGACACGATTTGAAGCCCTTGTTGAAACTGTGTTGACGCTTTAGGATCCGGACTCTTCCAGATGAGTGCGCCTGTAAGAAGGCTTGTTTTTTCTCTTTTGTTTTTTGGGGGGGTGCAGGGGCAGCGGTCTCTGGCGGATCTTGCTTGGGGTCCCCCAGGGAGTATAGAAACAGCCCTGCTTGGACTCACAGGGTCGAACGGGAATTTTGATCCACCTCACAGAGTCGAATTGGAGTTCGGGGTACATGGGCTTGGTGGACTTATATGGAATAACTGGACTCGCGTGGTCTAGGCGGACACGGAAGTAGTTGAAGTGTACTGACCTTGCCTGTGCTCCTCCCTCCTCTTAAGGTCAGCGTTGATTTCGCTCACCATATTCTTGACCGCCTCCACCTGGACTTGGAGCGTGTCCAGAAGCTGTCTCTGCTTTTCTGTCGCCTCCTCGCTCTCCCGAAGGCGGTCCTCTGTCGCCCGGAGGGCATTCCGCTGATCCGCCGCAGCCGCCTGGAGACCGAGGACCAGCGTCCTGTCCGCGTCCATCTGAATCTGCATGGCGTCCAGCTGTTGTCTCCGCTTCTCCTCCGCCTCCTGTCCGTCCCGCAGGCGGCTCTCGGAGGTCCTGAGGGTCTGCCGCTGGTCCACCACCGCCGCCTGTAGACTGAGCACCAGTTGCCTCAACCCCAGCAGCTCGGTCCAGATCACGGGCAGGTCCAGGGGGGCAGCCGAGTCTTGCGTCACGGTCTGCGTTCTGAACGAGCGATCCCGGTCCCGGGCGGGAAGCAGACCAAAGACCTCCGACGGACCGATCAGCAGAAGCGCAACCGCAGCAACTGCGGAAAACTTCATCGCGAGCATTCAGACAGGCACCCGCCTGACACACATGCAAAACACTTTGGCACGCACGCGTAGCGATCCCGGTTGTATGGTGTCGTGGGGTCCGATGGCGTCCGCACGTCCCACAATGCACTGGAGTCGCGTGAGTGTGCGTGAAAGTGATGCTTGTGTGCAGATTACAGATCCTGTGACCCACGAGGCTTCTGTTCCAGCTCCCGCACATACCGAGCATAACTGAAATGCTAATCTGCTAATCAACTCGCTTCCACTTTACCGTCGCCACCACGACACGCAAACTAGCGCTATACTGCCGCTGGCCTAAAGACTACACTGAATAAATGACCTCTGACGATATCACTCAAGTACTGTACGATGCTATTACCATACAGTACGACACCATTAGTCGACTTCCTCTATCCTATCAAAGTCCAGTATAACGGCTCCGCTATGACTTCATTTTCAGCACTATTATGGTGCAACCCGACACCGATTCCTAGACAATGGTCAAAGGGCAGCCGAACAAATTCCGGTGACTTTCCCCTCCGACACCACCGGGACCGGGCGTCGTCGGATCTTCTTAGCCCCGCAATGACACTCCGGATCGGTTCTGGACCCGAAGCAGCGAGCAGGACACGGCTCACTCATGTCTGTTGGACTCGGTCAACGCGTGACAAAGACAACTGCAGATTTTCAGGTTGTACCATCATTCTTTCCGGCTTCAATGGGTCAAGAAATCTTTGCCAACATGACTCCAATAGGATCCCGGTATTCGACAGCAACCAAGATTGGTTTATAAACACCAAGTGATGACAACCTTTGGGGAACGCACTTAGAACCGAAGAGTCGCGCTGTAGCTAGGATGGACGTGCTCGTGAGAAGACGGTCGCTCGACAAGTGCTGTTGTACCGGCCGGGGCAAAGAGTGCACTGCTACATGGAGCCTTAGCGCTCCTTTTTGGACCGCTTCCAGTGCAACTTTTCACTCTTTGGGTACTCACTGATACCTGGAGTACTTTCGAGAAACAACATTTTTATTTAAGGACAGTAGGAAAACAAAAAAGCTTTCGTTCGGATGCCAATGATGCTTAGCCTATGTGTCAAAGTTTCGCCGTATAGCGCCAACTGCCGCCGAGGAGAACTTTCCTCTTTTGCACATTTTTTTTCTTTTTCTTGCCTTAAATTGGAAGGCGGTATCGGCGGCCTCCAGTAAGACCCGATACCTTAAAAGTAAAGTAGGTACCAACCCGATACCTCTACTTGTTATCGATACTCACCTATCCCGTAATCTCAACTTTTGAGTATTTTCACTTCAAATTTTTGAGGAAAATAACAAACAACATCATGAGCAACATCCGCTTAAATCGTCGTGAAGATTGGCCGTAGTATTTTTCGGCCATGAGGTGACGTGAAGCTTTTTGACACGAAGCGTCTTGGGCCCTCCCCATACGAGCACATTTGAAAGGAAAGTGCGGAGGAGTCCTTTGCCGCATCACTCAAAGAAATGGCCACAGCTGTCGCCCCACCGGATGACAGTGACACCACGGGCCCCCGCTTCGGCCTGCGTTTGAGTAGCAGGTTGGAAACGGTTCTTATAATAAAAAAAAAAAAAAAAAAAAAAAAAAAGAAAGCAGGTGGCAACCACAAGGATTGGCACCCGCACGGTCTCGAAAAAGTGTCGCGGCAAAGCAGGCTGTTTCGGGGTCGAACCCGTCCAGTAGAAAAGGGCCGAGGAGGTGTCAGTGTGTCCCACCCACCGTTTGTCAGATTGCGATTTGGGTAAAAAGGCGAGTGTCAATCAGAAGAGCTATGTAAACAGTGTCCGTTGTCGCCGTGGTAACCAGTGTCCTCTCTCACACACACACACACACACACACACACACACACACAAAAAGGGTGGGGGGTGTGTTGGGGGGAAGCAGGAGGTGGCGCCCCCCGTGCGGCGTTGCCCCCCTCGTCCAAGTGGCAAGCTCAGCGCTGACCCGTGTACGCTCGGAACCAGGACGTGACGGAGGCCGCCGCGGATGAGATCATCCCTCCCGTGATGACGGACGGCTGGGACACCTGCAGCGCGCTCTGGGAGAGATCCATCGGCTGCGGGCGGGACAACGGCAGATTTCAGATTTGACCACGTTCCCGTGTTACAAGGCGGGAGTAACGAAATAAATTGCAGTGCCTTGAGGTTCCCCCCCTACACACACAATTTTTTTTTTCTAATCCGGCACATTTGTTCAGCGCGGTTCAGCTGCATTTGAATTGCGGTACAGCGGCTGGGTGATTGGGCAACCCCCCCCCCCAAAAAAATCTTTTTTTGTTGTATCTTGCAATCTCGATTGTATTATTGCGATTTTACGTCGAACTGCCACTTTCTTTTACAGCATCCGTACTGAGCAACGGTACAAAACTCAAATAAGTGACAAAATGAATCGTCTGATTCATTGGAAAAAATGGCGTCATCATCCAAATGACCTCTTTTTGGCTCCCTTGATGTAACTGAGGGTTACGTCAAAGTGTTGTTGGAAATACTGGCGAACGGTCGCCGCATTGCATTGCATTGAACGGAGTCCGAGCTCCCCCTAGTGGACCGGTAGCGCAAGGGCATCATTTTGCGCATTTTCCTCTCCGGTCGCAAAGACAGGCGGGAGCGGAAAGTGCGCGGTACCTGCGAGGGGATGTCGCAGAATCGCGGACTGGGGACGGTCTCCCAGTCGGTGCCGAGGTCGGTCTCGTCGTCGGTGACCGCCTCGTCGCCGCTCTCCTCGGCGGCTCCCGAGGCCTCGGGCTCCACGAACTCCATCGACTCCTCCAGGTCGGCGCTCACCTCGAACGGACCCGTCCTGAAGCAGAGGCGGCACGGTCGGTCAGCGCTGGGTCGCGCCACACGGGTTGCCGGGGCAACTGCGACGTCGCCACCTCACCTGCCCAGGTTGGGGTTGGCGGCCGAGACCAGGAACATGATGTTGCGCAGCGTGTGGTGCGGGTGGAGCTTGTCGCAGTCCACGTGCTGAGCACACACGGACGGGTGGGTTTTACAATTACACCCCCGCAAAAAAAAAAAAGCATGACTGATTGATTGTCTGCCAAAACACACGGCCCAGCGGCCGCGTTCCGTGACCGAGTAGTTGGGGCGCTTACCTGTGAGAAGCACAGGTGCAGCGTGTTGGCGTTGAGCTTGCTGAGCGCGCGCGTGAAGCGGAAGCGACTCAGGCTGTCGCCGCAGAACTCACTGGAGGAGCAAAAAAAAAAATCAAAAATAAACCACGAGGCGGCGGTCGGGTGCGCCGGTCTTCCTGCGGGCACGCCGGCCAGCACCTGTTGCACAGCTTCTTGGGGAGGCCGACATCCAGGATGTGCGACAAGACGGTGAGCAGCTGCGTGGCGTAGCACAGAGCGGCGCTGATGGTGTGGGCCGGGTTGATGTGGTCCAGTTCTAAAAGGGACACGGAGGCGTTCGACGAGACTTAAAACAGGCGGCGCAAAACAACGCGAACCGCGGAGCGGAAGCGCCACGATGGGAGAAGCGGCTCGGACGCGGGAGTTGACGCAAGCGTATACGTGAAGGTGACACCGACCCGGGCCGTGCTTGCTGCTCTTCTCGTCCGCCCAGCTGTAGTAGGCCGAGCAGTCTCCGTTGCTGGGCAGGGTGACGGCGGGCCCCGTGATGCTGACGCTGGTCTCCCCGTTCTGGTCGTCCCAAATCCAGCGGCCCGACAGGTAGGTGGTCCGGCGCGCCTCCGCCAGCTCGCTCACCGTGCTGGACGTCAGCGTCGCGTCGCACTCGGAGACCACATCGGCGGGGTCTCTGGGGGGGGGAGGGTTGTGTTAGCTACAACTATGTTGACGGAAGTTGAGGCGATCCATTCAGACTAACGTGATGCTTTGCTCACATCCTACGTTGAAGTGAGTTGAAAGTGGACAAAAGTAGAGCTTTGCTGCCATCTTCATCGAGAGATTTGATTTGCAATGCACTCACATACACTCGTCTCGTGTGTATGTGTGGCTTTTGGAGAGAACCGTATGTGCCTTGTCTCAGTAAAGCTTTGGAATCACTCTTTGGGGCATTTGTGTCGCAGTGCAAAATCTGAGACCTCGTGCCTGACTGATTGAGATTTTTGGATGTCAACGCTAAGGCCAATATTTGCCCCCGCCCTCCTCCCCAAAATGAACAAACAAAAAACACAATTCATTCATTCCTTAAAAACCCAAGAACCGATGACTCGGTCGGGCCCCACCCACAACGTTAGCACGCTAATCGGTGCAAAACCGGAGACCTCGCGCATGACCGATCTCGATTTTTCGATGGCAAAGCGAACTCTGAAATTGGGGGAAAAAAACACCTCAATAAACATCCAGCAAGCGATTCATCGGCACGTTAGGAGGCTAACGGTTCCGCTAGCAGGCTCGCACACACGCACAAGATGGCCGCCGCCGTCGCTCACCTGCTGCAGCTCTTCTCTTCCCGCGTGGGGAAGATGTGCGCCATCAACTCGGCAACGTGATCGCGCCGCGTGGCCGCCAGCTGCGCCAGTCGCCCGCGCAGCTCCTGCTCGCGTCGCTCCAGCAGCTCGCCCAGACGGCGGTTGTGCCGCTCGATCTTCTCTTGCTTCTGCCGGTGGCGGTTGGCGCGGCGCTGGAGGCGCTGGCGTTCGTCCTGGGAGTGCAGCAGCAGCTCCTTGTCTGCCAATCATGTGCGGGAGGTTTTCTCAGACGAATTCAGTGGCGGCTATCCGCTTGTGTATTCCAGATAAGCGCAACCTGATTGGAGGTAGCGGCAGCTCCCGTTGGAGATGACATCTACGTTATTTGGACTGCTCAGATTTTAGTCTCAGATATTTACAATGGCAGCGAGTCAAACTTCTTGGATGAGAAAAGGCCTCAATGTCCCCGACCGATGTCCGGAGGCGACGCAAGATCAATACGCTACGCTGGCAAAAGATCACACGAGGCGTCCGTCCGCTCACCGCTCTTGACTTCTTGGTGCGCGCAGGTCAGCGCCTGGTTTATCTGCTCCATCTTCACGTGGCACCACATGATTTTCCACTTCTGTGGACACAAACGCATTGACAAAAGACTTGAGGGCTGTCAAACACGTCGCAAAAGGCAACTCGTCAAACTCACCATCTCGTCGGTCCGCAGCTTCCTGTGCATGGCGCGGATTACCCTGAGGAGGAGGAGGAGGAGGAGGCGGGTATGTGACCACAGACCAAAGGCGTCGAGATCAACTCGCACAAACTCTCACCTGTGCTGCAGTTGTTCCTTCTCCTCTTTCAGAGTCTTGAGCCTTGCCATCTTGTCCGCGCACCTGCGGCGTGGACACAACACACAAAGACTGAACGATCGGGACTCATTTCAAATGTCATCCCATCCAATCCGAACTTCATGACGGAACACTTTTAAATTGGTTTTGTATAATTCGTTTACTACACCGGATTTAAAATGAAGTAACAGCGAACGAAAAAAATAATAGTCAACAAAAAGTGCCCACCCTTTGAGCATGGTCCGAGAACGTCGAGGTGAAGGGTTGAAAAAAAAAAGATTTAAAACCTGCCAAAACCAAAGTTTGACTTTAAAGTCGAATTTGACGTGCTATGATTTAGTTAAGTCGCATTTCTGGGGGGAAATGAAGGCTTTAGTGTTACTTTAGCAGGAAGTCATCGACTGCACTCGGCTAACTGCTAGCAGAGCTCGAATTAGCCTCGACGCTAACGCGACCAACTCGGCTAAAACAGCGACCGGGACGCGAACAACGTCTCGCGTTTCGACTTCAAATGAACACTCGGCAAAGGAAAGTTAAGCGCGCGGTCATCCTCAAGAAAAGAAAGCAGCCGTTCCCTGTTACGGGTCATGTTTTGCGAATGCTATGTTGAGACGGGTCCCGCGGGTCTACGTGAGGTGCCCCGTATTATTATGATTATTATTTGCATGTTTTCCGAGCATCTGTGTCGTTTTGGAGGGTGTCAGTGACGCCGATGTAAAGTGGGAGCTTCTGTTTCTGATGACGTCGCGTCAAACATCTGACATCATCAGTTGACGGGCGTAATACGCGGTGGTCAATCGGATATGGACAAAGACGTCCGCGCGGTTCCGCGTCGCTCTCACCTCTCCGCGTTTCTGCCGTCCAAGTACACGAAGTCTCCGGCCCGCACGCAACGGGCACACGTCAGCCTCCGGCGCGACGTGCTGCACAGCGGGCACCGCTCCACCGCCACAAAAAGACCCTCCGCGTCATCTACGGACTCGACCATGACGCCGGCGGCCGGCGCGGCCTGATGCGGGCGAGGAGGCGCGGGCGGCGGCCTGCCCGCGGGGCGCGAGGCTGCTCGGTCGGCTGCGAGCAGCGGCAGCCCCGCTGAGGACGTCATGCCGGCGCGGGATAAACAGCTAATTCGTTTTGCGTGCGCGCCTGCGTGTATTTTTTTCTGAAATATCACCTAACAACATAACTAGTCGACGACGTCAACACTCGCGAGGCGCTCATGGTGACGTCAGACGTTGTTTTCCAGTGTGCGTCCGCGCGAGACCAGCAAACACGGCGAAGGCGATGGGCGCCACGCTTCCGGGTTGTTTTGTTTATGTCGTGACGTGTAAAGACGGGCGGGGCTTCAGCTGAAGGTCAACTATGGCAACGCACGAGCAGGTTTGTTTTCCTCACGTGACCAAAACATGTTCAGGTGTTTATCAGGGTATTTGCGAAGAATTGTTTGGGTTAAAAATGTTGGGAACTGCAGCATTACAATTATTAACCATGAACTGAAACCAAGAATGAATTATGTGATATGATTCAAATTCAGAATCCGTTTTTGAACCGCTTTTCAAGAATTGACCCAATCCATTATCCAAAATCTGTTTCGGTTACCTCTGGCACTTGAAGGTGACCGATTTGATTGCGGAGCACGTTGGAGCAAGAAGCCGGGAAAGTGACCGTCTCTTCTCCTTGTTTTGATGGCTGATTCTCAGTTTTGCTGTTCAACATGTATTGAGGCGCATTGATTTTAACACGAAAACCATGGGAACAAAAACAAAAAACATTTTAACTCGAGTTTGTTCACATCAAGATTGTTTATTTTTTTTCTACTTTTGTGTTCTGATGGTGAACGTCTAAAACAAAGTGCCATCAACAACATAAAAGAGCACAAATAATTATAAATGAGCAAGAAGAGACGTCACTGCTTGCGGAAGCCTCTCAAGATGGGGTAGATGTTCTCGAATGCTTCGTAGATTTCGCCGCGCTCTTTGGCACCTGCAATGGAAGCAGACTGAGTGGCAGCCCATCGATCGATCGAGCGGTTGATTGATGGAGAGCTGGAGGCCACCCGACCGGCACCTACCAGTCAGGACGACTTTGCCTGACACGAAGATGAGCAGAACGATCCGAGGTTTCACCATCCGGTAGATCAGACCCGGAAACAACTCGGGCTCGTAACTGCACAGGAACAGCTCAGTTAGCCCGTCAATTAACACGACACTACCAGGATTAAGATCATGCGCCATAAATATGATTGAGAACTCCATCCGAAACAAGATTAGTGGTAACAAAATTTGAAATTTGAGCAAGAACAGGATAGACAACAGCAGGAACACCAACAGGATCAAGAACATCCACCAGTGGCAAGATTGGGAACATGGGCAACAACAGTAACAAGATTGAAAACAATGAAAAGAAATTGCGCAGGAACAAGAACATAAGTGGGGTGAATACAAGATCCAGAACGTGTGCAGTGATGTGATCGAGAACTTCAGCTGAAACGAGATTTGCAGTCGCAGACCTGAGGACTTCACCGAAAGCTTTAGAAGAAACATTTACATGAACAGAAGCAGAACAGTGTCGAGAACATGAGCAAGAAACGAGAACAGTAACAACAACTCGTCCAGTATCAAATACTTGATCAAGAACATGCACAGTCACATAACTGAGAACCTGAACAGGGACAAGAACATGTACACCAAGATGAAAAAAAAAAATTGAGCACAGTAATGAGATTGAGAACTTGAGCCGGAAACAAGATCGAGAACCTGTGTGTAAGAAGTACAGTATAAGCAAGCAGTAACATAAGTAAAGAGCGCTAGCAGGACCAGGAAAATGACTCTTAAGGAATAAGTTGCAGGAATAAAGTGGTGCGTGGGAACAGGAGGGAGAACTTGAGCCGGACCAAGAACAGGAACAAGACTGAGCAGGAACAAGAGGATCCACAGTTGCAGGATGTGCAATGACGTTGCGCAGAGAGCGAGCGCGTCAAAGCTGCGACCTGCTGAACTGCTGGTGGGTCAGGACCAGGCCCTCCAGCCGGATGGGGAAGCAGACGTCGCAGCTGGCCACCATGTTCTGGATCTTGAAGTCCAAGAAGCGAGCGGGGAAGCCCAACTTTTGTACCACGCGGGCGTACTTCCTGGCCGCCAGTCGGGACTGCTCCTCGCTGCGCATGCTCACACAAGACTGCCGTTAAGAAGCAGGACCGGAGCGGAATGGGACGGGCCGGGACGGGCCGAACCGCCTGATGGTACCGACCTCTTGGCCCCGGTGCAGACCATCTTCCCAGAACTGAAGATCAGCGCCGTGGTTCTGGGCTCGCGGATCCTCATGATGACGGCGGCGAAGCGCTGCAAACACCAAAACGCGCCACCGATAAGGCAAAAGTTGTTTGAGCTAAACATGCTGAGCACAACATGCTACTCAACTCCACTCATAAGATAAACATGCGTCAACTAAATCAGCCAAGCGTACCATTCTAAATTCAGACGAGTCAGAGATAAACATTAACCTCAACATGCTGAGCTAAAAATGCTCATGCGTCAGACGCTAAGCTAATAATGATAAACTCTTGATGGTGAACCGAACATGCCGAGCCAAACAAGTTAAATACGCGAATGCTAAGTACGCTGAAATAAACATGCTAAATGCTGAATGTTTTGGGCCAGGCACGCTAATGTTCAACATCCCAAGCTAAACCCGTTGTCGCTCAAAACGCTCATGCTAAATGTGCTGCGCTAAACATGCCTTCAACTAGTGAGGTTGTCTTGGGCTAGCCACCTTGGGGTTGTACTCGGCATTTCTGGCTTGAAGGGCGATGAACTTGAGGTCCAGAGGACAACCCAGGTTTACCGTGGAGACGATGTTCCTGCGCACACATACACCAGAGACAGCATGCGCAGGGTGGCCAAGTGCGGCAGGAACATGAGCATCAAAATTGGACCTCCTGAACACTGAAGAGGAGCAAGAACTTGCGCAGTAACCGGGACTTGAGCAGGAAAAAGAACATGGACGGCAAAAGAATGGAATAGGTTCACTGTCGAGACACTGTTCCTCCGCTGCACGGACGCACCATCTGCGCTCTTGCGCAACACTGACACAGGGGAGCCGACAAGGCATCCAAGAATATGGCACCTGGACCTACTGCAGCTGCGGGACGATCCCTGACCTCTCCGTCATGGGGGTCATGGGGGTCATTGGCGTCATGGGGGTCATGGGGCAGAAGATGGCGCTGTCATTGGCCAAGTGCGAGGAGGATGAAGATGGTCGGTCTTCAGCTTCAGCTTCATGGTGGGATGCCAGGGCAACGCCCCCACCGCTGCCACTCCCTGCATTCAAAAGTAATCGACTAAGAGACTCTTACTTGACATTTCAGCTATCGAGACTTAAGGAGTCCTCGGTTCTGCTCCTTCACATTCTAGCGAGCTTCAAAGCCAAAGATTCCAATTGCCTCAAGTAATCCCGCTCTTGTCAGATGTGCGTCTTGCATGTTTGGCCTCACCATTTTGAATTTGTGCTCCCACCTCAGTGAGGTCAATTTTGGAAAAGCGGTTTTAAATCTATCTACCCGATTAAGTCAAATATTTTAATCGTGATTGATTGGCCAAAAGAGTAGTGCCAGGAGTAGGATCCAGGAGGCGACGGATGCAGCACAGTAGTGGAGGCGGCCGCTACCTTCCGCATCACACGCGTTGGCGCTCAACTCGTCAGGCAGAAAGCTGAGGTCCAGGTCGTCGGCCAGCTCGCCGCTCGGCTTCGGGGAGCGCGGGAGTGGGTCGGGCGTGCTCGGGAGGTCCGCATCATCCCCGTTCAGGAAGCCCGAGTCCTGCCCGGCAAAAAAACACCGGCACTTAACACTGAATCATTGCCGCTGGGCCAACTCTTATTCATTACAATTCAATTTAACTCAAAGTGGTACGCTACATTCAATGAGCTAACAATATTTACTTCACCCTGAGACGTGCACTCAGTGACTGTCCTGTACCACAAGAGAAACGCGGCATAATTGAAGCACGGTATCGCAAAGGACGATTGGAGACGGGCCCCGACGGCCGGTCAGTCACTCACATTTGCGATGGAGTCATCGAAGTAACGCTCCAGCGCCGATTCGTCCATTATGACTCGGGAAGCACGTGCCGCCATCCAAGACTTGCCAAGGACTGAGCAGGACTTTCCTGAGTTGCTCACGGGCCCAGCTGCATCCAATCCGATCATGATGAACACCCACACCCACATCTTGCAGGTCATGATGGGCAAAGTGAACCAATGACAGGTTGTCGCTCACGTGTTAGCCAATGGCTCATTTCTTGACGTTTCATTCAATATCGCTCTTTCAGGACCCATCCTGCACAGTGAGCAGTATTGAGGTTTGTAGAGACGAAAGCTTGTCACGTCGCTTCACTCCGTGCATATGTGATTGACTCAACTAATCCTAACACTGTGTCTGTCCACACGACAGTGCAAGCCAACTGAATGACTGAATCTCAGTGATTGACTAAACTAATCCTAACACTCTGTATTCACGACAGTGCAAGCCAACTGAATGACTGAATCTCAACAATTTGTTTGGACAACAGAACTGACTGTGAGACTGACTATATATGAATTTTCTCTCTCCATGAGTCTATAAATGAACAAATGGATAACTACCGATGTCACTTGTGGGGCGACATGCTAACGTGCTAACATCCACGCTAATTTGGCTTCTGCCTGGAAACCCCCAAAACTTGTTTGGGCAACGGAACTGACTGTGAGACTGACTATATAGGAATTTTCTCTCTCCATTAGTCTATAAATGACTACCGATGTCACTTGTGGGGCGACATGCTGACATGCACGCTAATTTGGCTTCTGCCTGGAAACCCCCAAAACAAGGTGCCATGCTAACAGGTGAGCGTCCAGGCTAACAACTGACAGTCTTCTACCTCGAAACAACGTGGCGGATAAGGAGAAAGGCGCACTCGTGTGCTGGGATCCACACTAAGAACAGGAGACTTTGTTGAAAACATTTATTTAAGAACATTTTAAAAAGCCAAAGAAGTCATGTGACTTGTGCACCTTGTTCTCTGGGGTCAGATGTCTGTCAGTCATCCATTTGGTTTCAACGGTTCCAGAGAACAGGAAGTGATTGTTAACGGTCAAAGTTTTGTTCAAAGTGCAGTCGTCTCTACACAGTCAACAGGAAGTCTCTCCCATAAACAGGAAGTGATGTTGAAAATGGTGAGGAAAAAAAAAAAGGGGGGGGGGTGATGGTGGTGGTCCTAGGAGGGTGGGAGGGGTCCCAGCTTCCTGTGAACGGCTTGCAGAAGCAGCATGGAGTACTCCTCCAGGAGAGCCGCCGTCCTTTCCTGGTCCGCCGTCCCCGCAAGGGTCCCGCCGTCGCCGCCGCCGCCTGGTCCCAACGGCAGCGACTGGAGCTCCGCCCTCATGGCCTGGAGGGCTTCAGACAGGAGAGCGGCCATTTGCCTATCCTCGGGGTCGCCGTCCTCCGAACAAGCGCTGCTCACCTGCAGGGGGCAAAAGAGGCAGCCATGTTGGAGCAGACGTGAGGGCGTGGTGGGGCGGGAAGTTGCGGGAGGGGAGAGTACCTTCCTGTAGAGGTGGGTGGTTCGCTTGAAGCAGCTCAGCATCTGAGTGGTCAGCGCTCGGCAGGAATCAATCCTGGTCGGCGGGTCTGCGGCGAGAAACGTGTCAAATGGACAACTCGGGCAGATCATGTGACATGTCGTGAGGGGAGGGCGGGGCAGACCACAGGCACACTGTCAACCCCCACCTATTCAGAATTGGCCAAGTCTCTTGAGATTATTTGCTACAAATCCCAGCAAATCATCGCGCTCGGCATATTTTTGTGCTCTTTCTTTGCGATCAAATGAACTGCTCCGTGTTTGCGGAGGAGTCGCGACAGCCGATAGCCAACCAGATTGACAGGGAACGGCAGCGGGATGGAAGACTCGAGTTCGGCTCCAACACGCAGACAAAGGCGACCAACGTTGGAAGTCGATGTTTGAGACAATGTTAGACACTAACTCTGGGAAGTAACATCGGCACCTAAGTTGGAAGTTGACGTTGAAAGCTAACTTGGGAAGCTAACGGTTTTAACTGTAATTTTGGAGGTAACTTTGGAAGCTAACTAACTCTGGGAAGTAACATCGGCACCTAAATTGGAAGTTGACGTTGAAAGCCAATATTGAAGCTAACTTGGGAAGCTAACAGTTTTAACTGTAATTTTGGAGGTAACTTTGGAAGCTAATTACACCTTCTCATGATAGAAAATAATGATGAAGCTAACTAATTGAATCAAACAGTGATCTTCCTTAGGGCTAACATTCGAGATAAATGTTGGAAACTAACCTTGGAACTTCACATTGAAGCTAATGGTGAAGCTAACTTGGGAATCAAACGTTGGAAGCTAAAGGTGAAACGAACTGTGCAAGCGAATGGAGGTCTTGCTCCGCTGTCACGCTAGCGGAAAGTTGGAAACTTTTTGGCACTCTTCGACTGTCCCGAGGCGGGACTGTGAGTGCCACTGACCGTTTGTCTACGTGTGCTTTTGGCATAAGCGGCTCAGCGAATGGAGGGAGCGTATGTCTGTGGTGTGGACAGATAAAAGGGGTGAAGGGGGGACAGCATCTCACCGGCTGGTGACAGACAGGAAGAGGAGGGATGATGAAGGCGAGCCCAGACGGAAAGATGACAGGATGAAGGCATGAGGAAGAGAAGAGTCCAAACCTGCGTCGTCCTGCGGCTCGGGAGCGGGCGGCGGGGGCCCGGAGGGTGGGGCGCTCTCCGTGGATGCGACGCAAGGTTTGTCAGGCGGCAGGAGGCGGCGGGGCAGCGGGGTGGCCTGGTTACCTTGGCAACCCGGCGAGGTAAAAGAAGACACGGCGGCGGCGGGGGATCGGCAAGCGCCGGACGCCGCCCCCGCCGTCAGTCCCACTCGGTTGAGGGCGTCGCCCAGCGAGGCGGAGCGAGACATTTTGGCGGCGGAGCTGGCGGTCGGACTCATGTAGGAGCGCGGAGGGCCCGCCGAGGGGGGCGAGCTCTTCCGGGGCGGCGTCGCGGCGGCAATCGCCCGCTGGGGAGACCCGGGGCCGGCGGACCCGAGGTTGTGATGTGGCTGGGCTGCGGCCGCGGTGCGTCGGGGGGCCGAGGGGAGGGAGGTGGGACGCTGAAGGATCACGCCGTCTGCCGAGAAGAAAACAAAAACACGCGTCAAACCGCGCCGATGAGGTGGTTTGCACGTTCCATCAGAGCACAACTTTTGACCAAACAAAACTCCTGAATTGCGAGTGAATACGCTACCCGTGCCACCGCCGATCCGCCGATGGGCCGACTCCCTTTCTGTGGAAGTCGCGACGTCCTGTTCCTCCTCCTCTTCTGGCCGACAACTTCCTGTTTGGTTGGAAGTCCGTGTCGCGCTCGGGTCCCGTTCCCGAACCTCGGGGACCGCCGGGTAGGACGTGGTTTCCGTCCCGTCTGATTTCGGGACGCTTCGGCTGCGGGGCAGAACCAGAAAAAAGGGGAGAAGAAATAAGGGACAGAATCAGGACATGAAGAGGAACACAATGACAGGAAGACGATGAGGAGTGAAACCAAAAAAGAAGACAGGGCAATGAAGAGATGAGGCGCAGAACTCGTACAAGCCACGAAAATGAACGACATGAGGAGACGTATCCTACGCGAGGTTCTGCCGGTGCGGGGCAAGCGGTACCTGGCGGGAGAGCTCTGGCAGAGGAACCTGGATGACATGCTGAGGCTCTCGCTGGAGCTGCCAGCGGTTCTGCTGGGTCCCTCTGCGACGTCGCCCAGCGTGGCAAAGTGTTTCTTGAGGAAGGCCTCCTGGTCCGGAGTCTGCGGGACCGGGCCGGTGTCCTCGTCCTCGTCCAGGGAGTCAGCGTCGTCACTGAGGCCATCTGTTGGTTTTTTTGTTTTGCATTTCAGCATCCCGGTGGCAAGGAACTATCGATTGTCAATGCCCGACGTCTCACTTTTGGCCGCCGTCCTGTCAGGACTGGAGGTCCTGGAGTTGAATCTGAGAGAGCAACCGCTGTCCGGACTGGGTTTGTCGTCCTGTCCGCTTGGAGGACTGGCGGCCTTCACCTCAAAGTCGCCGCTCGGGCTCACTCTGTCCTCCCATTGGTCAGGAAACAGCACCGGCGGCTCCCTCTCCACGATCGGATTGGACAGCGAGGTGAAGTCTGGCCTGGGATCGGCCAGCGCCTCCGTGTGCTCCACCTGTTGGGTTGGTGCTCTCACGTCAGGAAGGCGCGAGCTCAAAGAAACGTGACACGCAGACATGCGACGTAAGCGCAGCCAAGATGTCGCGGCGAGTAGTCGACCCGTTGCTGCAGTACGTCTCAAGAGATACTCGTCCCAAGTGGAGGTTCCAGTGAGCCGGTACGTCCTCCGCGCCAGGACATTGCCACATCCAATATGGCGCACACGCGGCATCTACTCTCCCTTTATCTGGCTACGGACGGTATGTCAATCACTCACCTGGAGACTGAGGCGACTTCCCAGCTGCTGATCGGCCCTGTGAAGCCCCGCCCCCGAGATCCAGATGCCCCGGGGGCCGCATGATGAGGGGCCGTCGTCAAGTGGGCGTGTCTTCATCAGGCAGGGGGCGCCGTGAAACAAAGATTAGGGCACAACCTGGCATTTTGGAACGGGAGCTGGGAACGACACCAGACGCTTACCGGCAACCCGCCATTGGAGCAGTACAAGTCCAGCTGTCTCAGGTCCAACATGGATGTCACCATGGCAACGTCGCTGGTGTCGCCACCGCACGAGTTCCGGGCCCAGCGGCGGCGAGGCAGTCGCCCGTCTGGTGGGGCCTGAGGAGGGGGGAAAAAAAAAGAAAAAGGGCTAACATGCTAGCAAACGGCGCTAACGACTTATTTAGCTTTGATTTACATTGTAGACTGGAAACTATTTGCAGATTCACATTTTCCACCATTTTGTTACATGACAGCCGTATTCAAACCACTCAAAATTCAACACACCCGAGCTCCACCGCGAACCGTGAAAGTCCCTGAGGAACTGACATCCACCCAAAAGGCTTACAATTGCCCACTCATGCCACAAAGTGGCAGAATAGGACTGTTTTTGTCGAAATAAAGCTCCTCCACTCACTTCGTTTCTTGACACCAATATGCCACAAAATGGCAGCAAAGCATTCTTTTTGGCCAAATGAAACTCCGTAACTCACTTATACATAGTTCCTTGTCACAGGGATGCCGGAAGCTGATGACTACAACAGTTCCTTGAGGACAAGATGCCACAAAATGGCAGCAAAGGACTCTTTTCGTCCAAATGAAACTCCTTGACTCACTTCAACATAGTTCCTTGTCACAGGGATGCCGGAAGCTGATGACAAAGCACGATTTTGTTTCAAAAGAAAACTCCTCAACTCACTTGGACATAATTCCTCAACACCATGATACCACAACGTGATGGCAAAGCACTGATTTTGTCCAAAAGAAACTCCTCTACTCACTTCAGTCATTTCTCAACATCAATACGGCACACGGGGGCGCAAGAGTACACTTTTTGTCACGATGAAACTTCTTAGCTCACGTCAACATAGTGCCTGGACACCAAGAGCCCCCCAAATCAGAAAATCTGTAAAAACAGCGATGCTGAAAAGTCAACTCACCATCTTGCTGTCACGTGATGCCTCAGCTGAGGGGAAAACAAAACAAAACAAAACACAGACGCGGCATTATATTGGTGAGCAAGCTTGATACTGTTACTGTAACAACACGCACCCTCCTCCTCTTCCTCCTCCTCCTTGTCGCTGTCCGACGACATGGCGACGACGCGAGGGGCCCCCGCCGCCCCAGATGCAGCTGCACGCACGCGCGGGCGCGGGGGGGTCAGTCCGCGTGGCCGAAGCCCGAGCGCGCCAGCTGGCGTTCGAGTCGTACCTGTCACCTGACACGCTGATGAGGCGAGTGCAGTCGCTGCTGAATTTGAGGCCGGTGACCACCTCTGACGGACAGAGAGAACGACGGAGGGTCAAACGCACGCGCGCGCACGCACAGATGCGCGCGCACACACCTCCCCCGACTAACCCGAGTGTCCAAACATGGTGGCCACGCACTCGCCAGAGTAGAAATCAAAGATGTTGATGCTCTTGTCCGAACAGGAAGTGGCGATGTAGAGACCTGAGGGGTCGATCTGCACCTGAGCACCAACGAGATGAACACGAAGATGATGATGATGATGATGTTGATGATGTTGAGCTCCCGTCGCCGTTGCCTTCTCACCTTGATGAGCGTTCCATCTTCTCCCTGAGACCCTTTGTAGATTTTCTTCTGCTTGCTGTTGCTGATGTTGAAGATCCTGCGCGAGCATCGCCGTCATCCTCGGCGTCATCTTCATCGCCGAGCGCGAGCCGGGAGAGGCGGAGTCACCTGATGCTGCGGTCCTGGCAACCGATGGCGGCGTACTTCCTGGTGGGCTCCACGTCCATGTCGTACAGCGTGCTCTTCCTCACCACGTGATGCGTTCGCGTGAACGCCACGTCGCCGTCCGTCTGAGACAAAGACCGGCAAGGTCACGCGACGTGAGGTCATCGCCGCGGCGTTCGGGGGGCGTGACGTCACCTGCTGGCCCGTGCGGAAGTAGACGCTCTTGTCGGCGCCGCAGCTGATGAGCCGCACTTTGCCCTCATTGGCTGGGGGACGGAAAAGAGGCGATGATGTCACGGGGACGGCCGCGACGGGACGAGGGCTCGGAGTTCACTGACCTGCGAATCTGACCGCGGTGATGGAAGACGAGTGCTCGTCCAGCGTCTGGACCAAACGATAGTCGCAGGCCGCATCCAGCACGTGGATCAGGCGATCGCGACTGGCGGTGGCCAGAAACTGCACACCTGACGTGCACATACGCGCGCGAGGTCACGTGAAAATGTTTTGCCGTCGTCGCTATTGTGACGTCTCACCCGTGTCGCTTTGGGAGAAGTCGAGGGAAAGAATTTCGCCGTCATGAGCTTGAACGTTGACGATCTCCTCCATGGTTCGCACGTCGTGCACCCTGAAACAGGCGCGCATGCATCACCATCGACGAGGCGTCAGCCCCCGCGCCGCCCCCCCACCCAGCGTGGCCACCAACCTGAGGACGCCCACGCGGTCCCCCGAGGCCAGGTGCCGCCCGTCGGGACTGACCGTCAGCGAGCGGATGCCCGCGCGGCTCTGGTCGGCCGGCAGAGCGTCGGGGGCGCTTTGCGCCGCCTTCTCGCCGCTGGATGCGGCCAGCGAGATGCTGGCCGCGTCCAGGAGGCCAGACGGGTTGTCCTCCACGTAAATGACCTTGTGAAGATCCTGGGGGGGTCAGAGGCCAGCGTTAGCGAGGTGTCCCGTGCTGTGTCTATCCTCGGGGTTGCGGGTGGGCAACGGAAGGGGCCGCGAGTGTGCACATACGTGGCTGAGGATGTTGCTGGGAAAGCGGCGAGCGTCGACGTTCCACACACGGATGGTATTATCCGACGAGCACGACAGGAAGCAGCCCGAAGGGAGCGGCATCTTCCCCGCGTCTCGTCCGTCTTCGGGGAACACCTGCGGAGGAGATGTGAGGGTCTCATCGTCCGGCAGCCTGCCGAAGCCCCCCCCCCCCCCCCCCCCCCCCCCCCCAGAGCTTGCCCACCCGGCGCGGGTCTCGGAGGTCGCCCGCGTCCCACACGTACACGCTGTGATCGCTGTAGACGCACGACAGCCAACCGCTGCTCGGGTCGTAGGTCAGCGCCACCGTGTCGGGGTAACGGGCGTCAGGGCGCACGCAGAACAGACGACTGAGGGCAGAGTTTGGAGCAAGTTAGACATGGCTGTGGCCGACATCTGGAAAGTCAAGTGCAGTCCCCGCAAAATTTCAAGCGAGTCTTCGTGACGGAGCCGAAGGAAGGCCGAAGTCAGTGGTGTCCAAACGACGGCCCGGTGGCCATTTGCGGCCCGTGACGTGACAAATCTCACACACAGGCACACACAAAAAGCTATTATAAAATGACATTTGACATGGCCTGCACGGTGACGTGACAATCTCACACACAGGCACACACAAATAGCTATTATAAAATGACATTTGACATGGCCTGCACGGTGAGTTAAAAAAACGGTGAAGGTGGGCAGAGTGAGAAGGGACGAGGTGCCTTTACAACCGAGACATTCGTTTAAATACTGTCGAACGTTTCTCGATATTCCGAGATACAAACAAAGCATTTTGGTTCAGTTGAAAACACCGTCGTGAAAAAAAGAGCATTCCATTTTCGAGGCAAAAAATCGTTTTGTCCGCTTTGTGCTGGATGAAGACATCGCACGAACGATCCTCAAGTAACTGTTTGACAAACGGTCACATGACGACAGCTGCTTCTTTTTTTTGAGTTCTGAATGTGGAGATTTGGCTGCCGTTCAGCGCGGCGCCGGAGCTATCCTGCTTGAGAAAAGGGCTGTTGCCCACCCCAAAAACTGCCCACCCCAACTATTTGCCGTAACAGCCTCAACGGAAAGCAAAGGAGGATACAAACTATCTCGAATCGCTTTCTTGACCGATTTCAGCGCGTTTCAAAAAGTCCGTCCATTCCATTTTTTTCTGCGTGCGGCCCCTCAGAAGAAAACGTTCAGACACCCCCTGGCCGAAGTCAACTTGTACAATCTTGCCGAGGGGTTGCAAGACATGGCCGCACGTTAGCCACAAACACACTCAGGAGATCATCGGTTTGAACGGAAAATGAATTGTCGTGGGAAATTTGAGAGGAGTCGCCAACCATTTGAAATGCAAGAAGTGTCGCTATCATCGTTTGTGGGTTTGGTTCCACTTAAAAAAAAAAAAAAAAGTAGTCGTTGGTATTTGTACATGCGGTATCAATATAATCGCTTTCGCTACACCTTATGAATGACGGTGTGAAAATATTATCCTTCTTGCCTGGCATCCGTCATGGTGGCGATGTCAGCGCCCAGGAAGTGCGGGCGCGGCAGCGTGCAGAGGAAGTGCAGCGTGTGCGGGCTGAAGGCGCGCACGGCGCCGTCCGAGCAGCCGCAGAAGATCAGCTCCTCCGTCACGCACAAGCACGTGGCCTGAGACGCCTGCGGGCACC